ACTGTAAAACCCTTTGACTAGTGTCTTGCAAAAATCTTTGCATCCATGTCTGATGTGTGTCTGATTTTATCCCTGTGAAAGCAGAACACACAATACCAGGTCTTAGTCTTGGGTGGGTGTATTTTTCTCTAAACCTCAGTGTGATCGCGGAGCTGATAAAAACAAATCCCTCACCGAGCTTGGAAGGATTCTACCTCAGTGAGGTGAACACGGCTGATTGAGCCCAACACCGTCGGATCAACCTGTTCATATGCATTGCGCATGACGCACACATCAGACATGGAAGACCTCGATTTCACTTTCAAGTCGTCTCTTTTTTTTGTTGCTGCGCCACATTCTCATCTTTGCTCCACTTCTCACACACGGGGCTTAAACATCGAACCGTTAGCTCTCCTTATTGCGTTATCTAATGATGACAGAATAAGGTCACAGTCAGTGGCCTTATGCAAGCACTTTACTCAGACCAAAACTTTTTATACCATCTGCTCTTCATCTCTGACTTCACCTGCTGCTGATTCACATAATAGAACATAATTAAGGCTGAAAAAAACCTCCTCTGCGTAATACGTCAACAGTACTTATTTACTAGGAATATCAAGGGGTGGCAACAAAAGGCACTTACGGACTCAAGCACCTGATCAACCGTTTAGTTGGCACTGTGTGAAAATGGTTGAATCTATCTGTGAATTTCTTTATGAGGGCAGTCTATACTTGTGAATAGCTCAGACAAAAATGCAAGAGGAGAAATACCAGAGCTGATTCAAATCAGGTCTGGAATCTGGTGACTGAAGGTTATTCAATATGTCTTTATGGAATAAATCAACTGAAATTGACTGAAATCTCAAATAATCCATCTTCATTGTGTGGATCCATTACATTCATTGTTCTTTGTGCGCTCATCTGTTGATGATCGGACCCCTTGTGGTACATTTCTCGGAGTCCAAAACCTTCTGATCGGCAATCATACATTTTTAGTTTCAAGTGCAGCATGCTGAGCTAAAACAGAGATTCCAACCCTTAGGCACAGGACCCCAACTAAAGGGATTACCATATGATTTACGAAGATATTATAGAATTGGATCACGAATGATGAATCTAATTCATTAGATTTTCTTGTGGTATATTTCATTATCATATCATTTACCACCTTCTAATAATATTGAAGTGAAACAATGAGTATGTGGCTTATAAACATGCCAAAATGAGACATGTTTTGAGGATGGACAATTCATTTATATGTCCAAGGTATCTACAAAAAAGTAGCAAAGTAATTGAAGCAGCTGCAAAGCCTTGAGGAAACAATTAAATACGATTATTTCCACCCGAGAAGGACATCAGAAGGTAAATGTACCAAGCCCTCCCAAGAAAAGTCTTGTCACCGCTGTGAGGTTGTAACCAGAAGAGAACATGGTAGAAAGCTGTGAACAAAGACAAAACCACAACTTGGTACAGATTAAAACATAATGTGGCTCTTTCTGTTCCTCTGAGGAAGTTTTCCTGTTTCCAGTCTTTGGACTAAACAATCTACCTCCTTGCTGGCAAGTGCTTTCACACAATATATATATGAAATAATATAAAATGTTAGAATTTTACTTTGTTCATCAATTGACCTAGTTATGACTCAGATCTTTATTCTCACATGATGTAGAACAATTTAATGAAATCCTTTTGATCTGTTTTTAAAGGGATTTTCTCTGGTTTCATTGAAGCAGATATAACTGCTGACATTTTGAGGAATACAAGTTGTGCTTTGGGTTTCATCTGAAAAGCCCGAGTAGAATCTATTAAAAGCTACCAACTCTTTCTTCTCGTCGGCCTTCTCCGTCTTTCTTAACAGGCTGTTATTTCGCCGACACTTTCTTGTGAGTTATTGTCTTCGACTTGCAGTACACATTTGCAGTTCATTAAATCTCAGAACATTGAAAAGAGACATTTCAGAATTCCTCCCCTTTTAAAATACTTTCCTTGCTGCAACTATTGCATTGCTAGTTAATTACCAGTTTTGACGGAATGTGACAGGAATTGTTTTCACCTTGGTGTTGTGTCTGTGTGTGTGTGTGTGTGTGTGCGCGCGTTTTTGTGCGTCTATGTGATAACGGCAAAGAGAATGTGGAAAATACAGTCACAAAACTTGTTGTAGCAAGTTGTTGGGATCCAAATGAAGGACTAAGATTGATGTGGTCCATGCAAGGACGCCAGAACTAAATGTATAGGAAGTATGAAATGATTCTCAATAGCAATACAAATTCAGGGGTCAATATCAGAAATTTTGCAACAGTGTAATAAGGAAACAAAAACAGAGGGTAATGATTAGGAAACACACTCAATGACTGCAACCAAATACCACTACTACATGTTTTGCTAAGCTAACAACCTGGTAATGTTGCCAACGTACTTCTAAAAATGTCAACTGTTGGTTGATGTCGGAAGAAAATATGTAGTTTCCTCTCTGAGCGGCATCCTCATCCCGCACACAATGCACATATTTCAACATGTCTTTAATTCTCTTCCTTTAGCTGAGCGTGAAGGTTTTATCATTTATGCTCACGTTTAGTGCAGTATCTTTGTGATATATGTCAAGATTAATGGGAAATACCACTCTGAATCAATTATATGGATTTTTGAATCGGGTGATGATGAACAGGCTTCACTGTCAGTGGAGGTTATGTCTTGTTTTTAATCGTATGTGTAGAAGATAATCTACGCACGGCCATGGAAAGAGGGGAAAGCACCCGGTTTCTTATCTGCGGCATCTACCGAGCATCAGCGATGTGTTTAAGGGGAAGTGCCTGTTCAGAGCCCAAAGGAAACTAAAGACAATACTCACCACACAAATGGCATTTCCCCCTGCTGCTGTCTCTGACTCAGAGTACAGATGCGTTTTTCTCCCCGAGCGGTGACACTCTTCATCCTCAGCATTGTACATAGTTTTTGTTTCTGGTGCGGCATAAAGGGACTACAAATTGGGGGGGGGGGTTGCTACCATCCATCACGATGGATTTGATGTTTGAAGTTCAAAAATTAAACGCTGGAGCTTCTCTAATAGCAATCCAATGCATTGCAAACACATTGACAATGTTACATCACTAAACAGAGGAGGCCAAACACTACATCTGGTTCCACACAACAAGTTTGTTTTTAAGGCAACAGGAACTGTTCAGCCAGAAAAATGTTTTCCTTTTCTCTAGTGTCATTATATTTATATTCATTAGAGGCTGGCAGGCAGCTCAGTTTGACCCCTTTCAATAAATACTGGCTCGAAGAAAACATTGAACAGATACATATTCGATCAAGGCCACCTCCAAATGTTACATTCAAATTCAAACACGATCAACACATCTCATACTCTTTAAATACTATTTTCTTTCAGGGAAGGTTGCATGAGGTCATTTTGCCGTGAAATTAAAGAGAATTCAGGATACTTTACAAAAGGCCTTTGCATTTTAAAATGTTTACTGTAAGAACAGAAATAGATAGGTGTAAGTGATACAAATACAATAATTTGCCAAAAGAAGTTGTAAGATATTCATATTTTAATTCAGTAAGTGCTTAAGACATCTTAATCTGTTTAAAATATTCGTTGGCAATTTAGAAATAAATGTATTTATCCTTTACATTCGTGGTAGATGGCCGAGTTAATATTCTAATGCGAACACATAGTTTACGATGTTTGTTTATTATCAGCTGGCTTAAGCATTTAGCTAAATGCCACATTATCATTAGCGGATATTATTTTAGTTAAGTTTCCGGTTATGCACTGAACTATGCAAACTGTATTACTGGTGGAAACATTGTATTTCAAAAGGATGGTCCTGGTTCAGGTTCTATTTGGTCCACTTTGCTAAATCAGTGAGCACAATGCGGAGCTGCAGGTCCAATGTTCAGCAGCTGAGTGCTTGTCCTGAGACCTTGGAGAGAACTTTTGCATATAAACAGTGACTATAGTTGAAATGCAGTTGAAAACAGTCTACATGCATTCAAAGACGACGTTGAGATGGGAGAAGTGAGCGTGGGAGGACAGCGTAAACATGGCATCACAGTGAAGAGCTCTTAGGAGGGGGACAATAGTTTCTCTCACATCAATCGGTGACTCTTGTTCAAGGTAAAAGCAAAAAAGCATTGCAACTTAAGGGAGTCATTAAGAAGCGCAGAGTCGTACACGCACGGTTTGAAATGTGTTAAAGTACTGTATCCTCACCATTTAATAGATCACATTGATATAGGAGACGGCTGCTCTGTATCAGCAGATTACAAATGTAGTATATTAAACAAAATGAAAGGCTGACAGATGGAAAAGTTCATATAATGAGATAATATATGTCAGTATTTTGTAAATATAAAAAATACAATATCAGGCATTTATCTAATTGGAATTGGCTTTTTTGTTTTGTTTATTAGGTGTCGCTCACTGCATTTTTCCCCATGTAAAAAAAATTGTTACTAATGTATTATCCTGAAATTTCTAAATTGAGTGATTCCCAATTATTGGTTGTAGGTCCAGGGTCCCAATCAAAGTGACTGGGTCCAAACCGCTGACTTTTCACAGCTTTTTTTCAACTTACTATTGAATGGCTTCAGGTTGATCAGTGTGGTAAATGTGCAACAAGGCTGCAGTCTTGTGATGACTATATTATTCATAAAGAAGTTTGAGTCCCACCTGAAAACGCCTGTGTGGTTTTGGGTAACTTTGTGCCCATGGGGCTTTGCCATACTTTAAACATGAACAGAACTATGAACATTATGGGGCCAAATAGGGATTTTTCAGAGCTTATGTGTCAGGATTTGGCTTTTTTGTTTCAGACATACTATAGGAATACTTCATATTAATGGTAAGATATTATTCTATGACTTCTTTGACAATGTTTTAATTGCTTTTATACTTACCTTTTTTGAACATACTATACTTTGACATTTAGACGTTTTCTCATAACTCCATAATAAACTGTCACACATGCATTTGATTGTCATCGTAAACATGTTCGAAATGATTCAGTTTCCAGTTTAAACCAAAAAGAAATATTTATTCCATGATAGACTGCAATTGGAAATACTCAACCATTCAAAAGAATAGACAATTAAGTGCTTGTTTTTTCGGAGGATGTATTGACACTAATTAAAATATCAACAGCCACATGCAATGGGATTTTGTCCACTACACAAACAGTGACTAGATTGCCTCCCCAACATTATAGATAACATTGAGTATTCACGTCCCTTTCAGTGTTGTGACTTTTTGTTTTCCGGTGCGGTCGGCCTCTGCAATAACACATGACAGAGCAGCGTCTTCTGCTCTGTGAGACTCTTACTGATCAACTACAGCGGATAGGCTCAGTTTCTGCATTATACGTCCAATCGGGTGGCAGGTTTCAGTTCAAATTATGACAGACTGGATGATTACCTGTATTACTTTAACAGAAAGTGGTCTGTTAATCTGTATGTATGGCATTAGACAATTACAGGAAGTAAACACTGACACCGCTAACAAAAGAAAATAATGACATCTTATGTCATTTTAAGTTAATTAGCAGATAAAATTGACATCAGATTAAAAGTCTTCTTACATTGTTTAATTCTGACCAGCCTGCACATCACCAAATTACATACATGAAGAATGATTAACATCAGCGGGTAAGGGGAGGGGGGTGGATCCAGTCACCTGACAATCTGTAAAAAATAAGGCAAAGTACAAAACAAACTAATTCCATGCAGACATTTAAAACATTGACGAGTTTGGCTTCAAATGATAAATGGTCCATTTCTTGCAAGAATTAAAAAAGGTATTTCTGTGCAAAAACATTTAAATAAAATCAAACAATAAACTCATGATTTCAAAGTGTAAAGTGGTTGTCCTGTGGAATGTCATGATGCTTCCCTTTTGCATCCAGCTGATTGCACCCATTGACTTCTGATGCCAAGATGGATGTGAACGGTGTGTGTTGTTGGCTATAAAAGCGTCCGACTGTGTCTGTGAGTCCATCCAGTCACCAGTAAAAAATTAAAGTTAGACGCTTCCCTGTGTTGTTTTCTGGGGAGGCGAGTCATCCCCAGTGGTTAGTACAAGTGCCTCTCCTCGTCTTGCCGAAGTCCTCTGGATGTGGACAAGCGGTCTTTTTGGTGATGGCAGTGTTCTCTACTGGCTGATGTTGAGGTTCAGTAAGCAACGACCATTCTTCGAAGGCACCATACTTTACATTGGTCTGTGTGTTGGTGTGGGCCGCACATGGGCACATGCATACATGGAGAAGTCAAACCAGTCAACAAAGTCTATTCCCTCCACTGGCGTCAGTCCACAAGGCATAACCATGACAACTAAGGCAAAATCTCGCAACATTAAAACAGAGCATCTGTCTTTTTTTTTTCCTTTCTTATTTTTGTTTTTCTTATCGGATTCCTTGCTGCTGCTAAAATCAACTTCCCCACAATAATCATTAGTAATAATAATCTCTATTCAATAAATTATCTATACTGTACAATTATTTCATCTCGCATGGACCTGCAACCAAGGTGCCTTTTTCAAGCTGTCCTCGCTCAGTGTCTTCTGTGTCCTCAATTCATTAGAGCACCTGCAGAGCACACACAGGCTAACAGCAAGCCTTTTTTTTTTTTTACTCTACCTGTACAGAAATTAAAAAGGACGCCCTGCCACATAAAATAAATGTACAAACATTAGCAAAGCTGATGCATAATTGAAGATAGAGAAACATGGTAGAAACACTCACTGAAAAATGAGCATCCAGCAAAAACAACAGCAAAAATGTTCACTTTTTCCTTGTGTTTTTCTCCGGAGAGGGAGTGAGTAATTGTTCACTGAGAGCAGCAGATAGAAGATGCTTCCTGGTTTCAAGCGAGCAAATCAGCAAACATCCAAGCCTTACTGAACACTTTCTTCATCCACGTAGGTTGAGGGAAACCATCCAATCTGAAACAAAAAAAAAAGTTTTTACATCCAATGAAGCTGAACACACATTTGTTTACACTTTGGTGAATCCATTGCATTGCAGCATTAATCTGATTCAATGCCCAAGAGTTAGACCAAGTCCCCTCTGAACACAGCACCTTACAGAACACAGTATGTGCATTATTTCAACATAAGTGCACAGTTCAGATGTAGCAAGCTTCACTCTAAAAAGATATGTGACCAGCTATTGCTAGGCAACACTGGCTCCTACTTGATGCTAATCATAGAACATCACGTCTATATGTTGTTGTTTGGACCTGGTGTTCACCAGCACAGCTCACTCAGAGCGTTCAATGTCGGTACTGTAAAACTTTCACTGAATGACGGTTGCCATCTTTAGGACAAGAATCGCGACCTTAAATTGCTTGTAGAAAACTCTTCAGCACATGTTTTATTATTGTCGTTCATTTAACGCGCAGAGAGAGAGGGAGAGATCTGCGGTCTTGGCCATTAGTTAATTTTCATTATTTTTGTGTAGGTAATATGTTGTTAAATATGTTAACTTAAATAAAATTACCTATTTAAGTAGTTATGACCCGTTGTATTAATTTGTCCAGTTCTTGACGCGCCTTATGTGCAACCAGATATTTTTAAAGCGAATATTCAAACGTCATTTTTGACGAGCTCGCTCGTCTACTGAAGCAACGCCGCTTCATGAGCTCTTTGCTGGTTTCTTGGGCTGAAAAAAGGGCTCGGTTTCACATCCTGATTATGGGCTTTATTTCTGCATTTGGCTGTAAATATTGGGTTCATCATTGCACCATGCGCCTTTTGGGCGCCATCTTAAATAAACAAACAGATCCCGCTTCCTCATGTATCCCGTGAGAGAAAGCGTGTACAGAGACGGTAAGAAAACCTCTATGTGAGAGATCGGCACAAAGGAAATGACGCGAGAGTGCGTTGGGTGCTCGAGAACCAAATGTCCCACAGGACGGTTCGCGGATCTTCAGCGTTCGTTTTCTCTGTGTTATTGAAAGTGTACTGAAAACAATATGAATGAATATATTACATACGACATAAATGATCTCATTCTGAAAAAAAGCATCCATCCCACGCACACTTTAGACTATTCTGCCCACTCTGCCTGCTGTTAACTCAAGATCCCCCGTCCACTTCCACAAAACCCATCTGCGACATTCATTGAAAATAGCTGAGCGTAACAGCTGTTTGTTTATTTTCGATTTTGAAAATTAAAACATCGCTCTACAGATTTGCATCGAAGAGCGAGGACAGACACACACACACACACACACACAGGAAATGTGAAACGGAAATCTCTTAAGACACAAATGAAGCTTTCGTAAGTACAACAAACAGGGATCACCCTGCGAAAAACCTTTGCCTTTAAATGGAGAAATTCAGAGTAGAAAAGGAGCTGAAAAAACGCAGGAACTTCCTGTGCAAGGGAATAAAAGTGATCACGAGGTTGATATAAGTGGACCAATTGCCAGGACACACACATTCCGACACATGGCTGACGTCAGCCTCTTCGTGATGCCTCATTTGTTTTTGTTAGAAAAAGGCGTGAATTGACCCTTGATGGCCCTTTGGGTGGCCGTGGGAAACCACTTCCTACAAAAGCTGTCAGCTCTGTCGTTGGGGACGCCCTTTCTGCTCAAGTTGACAGTACTGTTTATGGCACAGAACTGGCACCACCTGAGCAGCACACAGGTGCGCACAGTTAGCAAAGCGAGCATGGACGTGAGGAGAAGGCCACGAGGCCACGAGGAGAAGGCCATGAGGAGAAGGCCACAAGGCCACAAGGAGAAGGCCACGAGGAGAAGGCCACGAGGCCACGAGGAGAAGGCCATGAGGAGAAGGCCACAAGGCCACAAGGAGAAGGCCACGAGGAGAAGGCCACGAGGCCACGAGGAGAAGGCCATGAGGAGAAGGCCACGAGGCCACAAGGAGAAGGCCACGAGGAGAAGGCCACGAGGCCATGAGGAGAAGGCCACGAGGCCACGAGGAGAAGGCCACGAGGCCACGAGGAGAAGGCCATGAGGCCATGAGGCCATGAGGGTGTACGCTTGGCCTTAGGAAGTGGCATCTGTGATGCCCGGCTCATTACCAGCAGAGTGACTGCATGAAACCCCGTCTTTGTGTCCCCCTGTGGTGAAGGGCTCATCAGGGATGAGGTTGCTGGTTGAGACATATCCAGCTCAAACTGGTATCTGTACGCCCCCCTCCCCTCCCCCCATCTGCCGTCCCCAGTCACCTTCAGCACAAAGCACCGAGGAGGCGTCCGCTCCATCAGAGGCAAGTGTGCACAGAGCTGGCAAGTGGCTCGTGCGGTAAGCTGTAGCTCAGCTTTCACAGCCGGGATGAAGGTCCAAAGGGAGGACCTAGCAGCCAGTATCCAGATGGGCACAGCCCCGTCTCACAGCTGTGTGGACATGGCTAAGGCCCAGGCGAGGCAAAATGGTGTGGAGAAAAAAAATGTCCACGGCAAAAGCTTAGAGGGTGGAGCCGGCACGATGTAGAACAATGAGAGCCAGAGGCTCCAGAAGTGGTCTGGCTAATCCAACAGCATTGTGCCTGCAAAGCGTTTCAACAGATGGGACCGGAACAGAGAAGGCACTTAAATGGAAACAAAACCCCAATTCCTCTTTTCTTGATGAACAAAACAAGATTGTAATATGCTGTAACGAAATCAAAATGTGACAGTACCTCAACATCAGATTAGCAACAGAACAATATTAACACATCCCCTTAATCCACAGCAACAGAAAAACAATGAATGAAAAAGAATAAAAAGTTCAAAGATTGCGAGCTTCACTGCGAGCCGATTGACTAACAGCAGCCATGTTTTTATGGCTTTTATTATACCAACGATTAGTGTCTGGCTCGGCGAAAAGGAGAGAATAAAATGCCGGACTATGTTCGGCCAAATACCTCAACATTGATGCTATAATATCGGAGGGTTAACCGATAAGACTTCTGTAATGTGGATTAGGTAGGAGGGGTGTGCGTTGTGTACATGCTACAACTTTGTAGCAGTACAATAATACTGTACAAAGATTACAGCCAAACAATGAATGATCGGACTCTGGTGCTTCACTCACTCGTCCGTTGGCCTCTCCCTTCCACCAGCCCTGGTCTCCACCGATCTTGCTGTAGATCTTGACGATGTCTCCTTCCCGCAGCGACAGCTCTCTCATGTCTCGTGCAGCAAAGTTATACCTGGCAATGGCCGTGCTGACCGCCCGGGGCGTGAACACTGAAAGCAGAAGCAGCGGGAGCTCAGTCACACAGCCGGAACGAGACGGAGTTGAAAGGTCATGCTGGATATCCCTGTAATAATTAGTTGTGAATGATGATGAGTACGAAGATGGCCGGTTTAACAAGACACCGTGTAACCACGCAAAGACAAATGAGCTCGATGGGAGAGGACAATTTGTTTCCTCATGAGGGAGGAAATTGGTTTTCTCGACGTGATTTAATGAGTGGTGCGATAACGGGAAGAACTGATATGTTGTAGTTAATGAAACATGCGCCATGGAGAAGAAGCAATGACATCAAGATGATGAAATCCCGTTCAGCGAGGAGCAGGTTGACAACAAGAGCAAGAAAAGAAAGGAAGAACCGAGTACCTGACCAAAATGGAGCGGAACTTTGGGAAGAGAAGTTGAGGCCCTGCGGACTGAGGAAGGAGAAGTTGTAGGAGGCGCAGGTGGCTGCTGAGAGGAGAAGAGAAAGGTGAGGAAATAAAGCGAGAAACGCAGAGCTGGAGCCACAGAAGTAGATAAAAAGGAGCAAATGTCAGTCGGCTGGTCATGATTTTGATTGCTTGAATGGTGTGATTGAAAACGGCAAAAAGTACAGACATTTGTGGAAAATATTCACATCAATTGTGCAGAATTACAGTCAACATGAGTGAATGTTGAGTTAAAATGGGTCACCGCGTTGTCTTTGCAGCACATTTTGCCTGCTGTAAATTTGCATATCTCTGCACAGCCTCCTAGATAAGGTTAGTCCAGACTCTAAGTACATACTGGTGCAGACGGCATTGCTTTAAAATGGGAGGAACTGATGGGATTGGCCTCCAGTGTTTATATTATATTTATTTCCAATGCAGACGAAACGGGAGGGAAACCTTTCGCCTGTAATGGCCGGTTCTTCTTGCAGATCAAACCAAGGCAGACACATGTAGAAGCATTTAGACAGACCACAGGCCTCGGCGTCAGATGACAAAGGCCTGCTTTTCCCCTTTCTCTCTACACCTATTTCACAAGTCTTCTCTGCCTTATTCTCCCATCCTCTGTGTACGAGAGAGGGAGTCACTGGCCTGGGGAAGAAAGGAGCGGAGTGCAGACAAAGAGAGCCAAAGGGTCATATTAAGTTGCCCCGTTCTTGCTATATCGACAGCTAACATGGCAAAATGGCATGCAGCTTTGTAAGCCTATTATAACATGTATTAAGTCCAATTAGTTCTGTTATAACCATTGATGGAAGCAGTCAGATGAATACTGTGACGTACAATGTGCCGTTATTTTGTGCCGTTTTTTCCCCCAGTTATCCGATCAGATTTAGTTAGGGCATTCCCCTTAGCTCACCCCCCACTATATAAGCACGGACGTACTTCAGTTTGGCTTTGGAAAGGTTTCATAAGGAGGGACACGCACTCAATACAATTACAGCTTGGTTTATCCATGAACCCAAATTGCATCAGGGTGGTGAAGAGAAAGCGCTATCATCACACGCTATGATGATACCTGATGAAACGCTTGCCCGTGGTTGAATTCCCTCTGCCAACGCGCTTATTGACTGATTCATCAGCTCTCATCAGCGCGCTGTGACTCATTCAGTGAGTGACTTGCAGCACTAATAAAGTATTCACTGTGGTGAGGCTGCGGACTCATCCTGGCTGATATTTGACACCTCACTGGAGATTCTTTCCGCTCTTTGAGTCTGCCGCCCCCAGGCTACCTGCTGGGGGAGAGGAATATTTGGAATGCTTACCTGGTGAGCGTGTACTGGCCCGCGTTAGAGAGCGCTCTCTTGATTTGTAGGGGTATCGCAATGTGGTGTCTAACAACTTGAAGCTTTCTTTCAGGGAATGGGCCTGGTAGTACTCCACCAGCTCCTGTTATGATACACAGCACGGGAGGATTCATCTGATCACATGTTTTTATTCTCTTCTATGACATCAAGTATCTGGTCCACAGTTGGTTTAAATATATGACTTACCAAAAGACTCTCAAACTTCTTGGCTTCAGTGATGTGAATCCAGCTGTCTTTTTCAACGACTTTGATGTGTTTTACTTCATCATTAAATCTGTAAAAGAAATATAGAACTTTTGCAATCAATTGCAAAACAATGTTTCTCATTGTTATGTTTTCCTCTTATGTGCCTTTAGTGTAAAAGTGCTCAGCTGCTGTCGACAAATTACAAGTCATTTTCGCAAGCCGAGGTCGACGGTGGGACATAGATTATTTGTCTGAAGGCTGGTCCCTCAAACACTTTGCAACTGTCCTAAAGACTGAAGGAGAAATGTGCTCAGAATGACGGTTCCTGTAAGAACGCAAACATTTATCTTCGTGAGGTTTCCTCTCGGAGCAAACACATACAAAAAGGAGAAGCAATTAACCAGAGGTAATTAGCTGCAGCAAAAAGAAGCTCGGGGGAAATGCTGACTGGAGCATCCCTTGAGAATTTGCATATCCCACGAGATGTGGATTAAAAAGCCTCCTGTGAGATTCTCGTTCAGCTGCACGATGTGAAACACTCACTTGATGCTGATGGCAAACCTCTCCGCCTCAGCCGTCCTCTCTCTGATAAGGTACGTCCCGCTGCTGTGAGATTTTAAAAGGTTATCGGCCTGCTGGCGCTCCATGTTCCCTGCGAACCTACAGAGGAGAAGAGAATAGAAGTTGCATAATCCAATGACATGGTGAAAGCTTTACAAATTGTTGACATCAAACAACTACGCGGTAACTGATCTTTTTACTGCGGACATTGCTCGGGGTGAATTCATTTTTAATTGAACAAGCGCATAAAGTTAGAATTAACATGAATAAATGTGAAGTAATTAAAGGATATCGACCCGAGGACAATAGCATTATATAGTGTACATGAGGATGAAGTGCACAATCTTCAGAAGTTACGGGTCTTACCAAGGATATCCATAGTAGTCTGATTCCCTTGAGCACTGCCGGCCCGATAGTGTCTGAAAGGGCTGTAAAAAACAAAAGACACTGCACATTTAATAGGTTATTAATAGAATAAAGCATTTTAAGTGTGCACTAAAGAGGAGCAGGCCCTCGGCAATCAAACTGCACTGCATCGAATGCCTCTAAATGCAGAACCCTTGGATTACTTACCTTCGGGTCCAAACAGGGTTTTACACAGGAACTGGGGAAGAAGCCACTCTTTTGTGTTTGTATCAGCTTTCCCTGCAAGACAGCAGCGCAAGGAATCTGTAATTACCTTGAGGCAATTAACAGGGCTTAACATGATGCAAACATGCATTAGAATATTTTTAAAAAGAAAACAGAAAAAGACTTTATCGGACACCATCATGACACAGTGATGCCAGGTGTTGCGTCTACAATAAAATGAACACATCGGTCGGGAGCCGTCAGGTCTATGAAGAGAGTCAGAGGGACAGTTGCTGTGCAGCTTTGTGGTGGTGTGCACCCAGTACACCCGCTCTAGTGTATTGAGATATTAATCATTTGAGTGTTATGAATTATTCACTTCTCCAATTGAACATTTTCATATTTATGAAGGAAAAGAGAGAGGGAGCAGGGTTTACTTTTTAAGCAATTTTTAACGTAAGGAGAGAATACGTTTGGATCACTCCTGATTTTGCCATATGAGCAGAAATAAACTGTGGGCAAATTTAACCACCTGTCTCAAATTAGTCCCCGAATCTGAGATAAGAAAATGCCTTTGAGGGGGTTGGATCATTGTTCGAGATGTAAGTCTTTAACTCACTTTAGGAAATCAGACACATGATAATGCTAATATCAGAACCAGAACACCTCAAATCCAAGACATTAGTGTTTGCTGTAAGTTCATTTGCATCTGATTTTTATAGACACATGACAATAAATACTACTCCGGTTCTACAAGATAACCTGAAATGTTCCTGTTTTTACATGTCTACATATCGATTTTCTTATCTAACAAATGTAAAATTCTTGACAACAATCATGTGTGCTTCAACTTTCAAAAGGCAAATGAAGTGTAGCTTATAACCAAATCATCCTCTGCACATTATCGGTGTGAAGGGGTGAAAACATCCTGACTGATTTTTACCTGGATGTTGGCAGACTTTTAAAGGAAAGTTTGAGATTTAGGAAAAAGAACCTTGGTTTACTGCCAATATTGAGAAGAAAGGAGATTGATATCCCTTTCATGTCTGTACACTAAATATAAGGCTAAGCCAGCTCACTGTATGTCACATTAGGGAAAGGGTCCAAAAGTAACAGAACCCACACACCAGAACCGCTCACATTACATCTCATTCATTTAATCCGTACAAAGGAAGTACGCGTCCCACTAGGAGAAAACGTCAGCAAGTACGATCTCTCTGACATCTGTAATGCTAAAGGTCAGCACTTAATCTCAATGTGTTGGATGTACAGCACAAAGCGTCTAAATACCGTATCATCAAATGGAGGAAGTTGGATGCTTTACCTCCCACCACGTGGTGTCAGGGTCTCCCTTCAGAAGCTCGATAAACTCTCCCGTCTGAAAGCTGAGCGCCGCCTTGCCTATCGGTGCTGGTGTGCCGTGGTAGTTCCTCACTGCCACCATCTTGGGACCTGGAAACACAATCCGATGTTTAGTCTCACTAGATGTGAGCAAGTAACAACCATCAGGCGTGCCAACGCGAGGCAGAAGAGGAAAACACGTTCTAACTTTGACTGCGCGCTTCATTGCATTGGGATTCAAGCCCATAAGGGCAGGACTGATTCGCCATTAAAAACCTGCCCACTGACAAATGCAGCAGTTTAAGATTTATAACATGATCACAACATCAAATCCCTTCCAGGATTCTCTCTTTAACTTTGTGCGGCTCTTAAAAGACCAGCTTTGTATTTTCTACTGCTCCTCATTTCAAGATACTGTAGAAAATGTACGATGCCTCTCGTCTCAATGGTCTTAAAGTTGTGCATGTGCGCACTGCCTCCCACTGTTCTTGGTCAATGATGCTGCTTTGGTTCGTGAGTAGTAGGCATTTCCACAAGATGGCGGTAGAGAGCTGAGCAGCTTAATAACATCTGTCTATAAGTAGCATGTCAGCTGACTGAATATCCTGCCTTGTAGGGAAGAGATCTTACCTGATGACATTCCAGGCTCCTATGAAAGAGAAACAAATACTTGATCAGCAACACCATGACGGACAAATACCTTACTGGTACAATTTGTTGATGAATACAAGATTAAAGGAAACGATAATTGGATGATGACATTACTTCTAATATGTTGAGAATTATAAGATCTACTCACCGAGTCATGAGGATCTGAAACAAGACGAAAGAGAGTGAGTGTCAGGCAAAGCAGCTGAGCATGATATACGTTTGTGCTGCATGGGGCTCTTTTTTATAAGCTTTGGTAAACATTTTCACCTGCTCGGCTGCGCTTTGGTTTCAACCCAGACATAGTGAATTAAAAGCGGTCCTGAATAAAGCTGAAGGAGCCGAGCAATGTGGAGAGGCTCACATATTCTTCATAGGGCCTGAGCACAATATTTGCATCTATACACAGCTGATTCCAATTCGAGAGAGCAGGCCTGTGATTTTCTGAATGCACATTGAGTGAATCTGTGGTACTCGGGCCGGGGGGGTCGAGACCCCTTCCAGATAAACCGGTTATGAATCAATTGTCAGATGATTGAGGAGTAAAGGAAAGCTAAACAAAATCATACTCTGTTCTGCACATGCTTTTTATTGTGATTATTTGGATCATTTCGACCAACATTTATTTAAATGTATGGATTTGGTGTATACACGGAGCCGATCCTGCTGGGTCACAACTAGACATTGCTTCGTTCGGAAGTATCTAAATAATCAGGGATACTTCATCTGAAAAAGTGTGTAAAATGATGGACAGGTGGTCCCTCTCTACTCATTTTCCTGCTGAAAAACAAGCCTAAAAACAAGACACCCTTACACTTGTGGAGGTAATCAAATTTCACAATCATTATTAATTTGGTCAAAAAAAAGAATCATCATCACTGTCAATGATGTCCGGCGCGCGACATTGATTAACAATTTCATCCAAACACTTGCTCCGCCCCGACGTATCGACCCTTTCAAAGGTGAACCTGCATTAGACACTCACTGATTTTACAGATGGTGATGACTTCCAGGCACTCTTTGTGTGCTCCTGTTCCACAGCGAGAGCAGTAGTAGCCCTGGTAGAAGATGCCCCTAGAGGGGAGACACACACACACACAGACACACACACACACACACACACACACACACAAGAAAAGTGAAATGAAAATGCCGTAGACACAAATTCACCTCTCGTAAGTACAACACACAAGAGGAAGTGCTGCTTGGTATTATCACCCTGTGAAGGCGGTTACACAAGCTCCATCATTTCCACTCGGTGATTCTTTACAATGGCAAACTCGACTCGTAGTACTGTATTTGTTCCAGGTCCTGTAACGCTGCACGCTTCGCACACTGCCACCTTCAATAGGAAGTGCCATAAATCACAACGGGATCCGCCGGGGCTGCAGCAGTAATTAGCATCTAGCAGGGAGGGAGAATCAGGTCCCGGCGCCGTTTGGCTCTCTGAATTTGGGTCACCCAAGCCGTGCGATGTGTGAGGTCAACGCGCTGAGTGGAGTTGAGGCCGACTGAGGTGAAAGTGGTGATTCAGAAAAGACTCGGCTGAAGCTGGAAAGGCTTACGTTTAAAAATGACATCCGTCCAACTTTGTCAAATTCAGTAGAATATTTTACATTATTTTGTTGTGTGTGTTGCACACTAAATGTGGTTGAATTTCTCTTCAGTTAGTCACCTCTTCAGTCTTAAGACACGTTTTAAGGTTTGGACTTCACACTAATAGTTAATATGTACATTTTATTTTACTGTTGCATAACTGCAGCGTTTGGAGGTTACAGTGCTCTTAAAATCCTTTTTTTTCTGCTTCATAATACTTTTTACAGAGAGACTGTTTATCTGTGGTGCATTTATGGAACCGTGTAGTTATTATTATCTCTGCACACCTTTCAATGCCAGACCTCCACCTGGTAAAGACTACGTCTATGGTGGAATTTTTATTTGAGTAAATAATCTGACCGCTGGTTTGACCACCGCGTATATCATACGTACATAAATGAGCCATAACTTGTGTCTGAGCGTTCTGACCGGTCCGTCTGCCCAGATTGTAAAAATAGCTAATGTCCTGTAGTGGTGAACATTGTTGCTTAGGCAATAGGACGAGGACAGTCTGAATAACCGTTCCTCGATTAACAATGTGCTGTTGTGCACATCAGGGTCGTTACCTCAAGAGCATTTTGCAGGCGCGACAGTTGGTGTTCTTATCAAACGTGTGCATTTGGAAGTTATGCTGATTGGCCGTGGCTCTCTCTGGTTTGATGTTGGACCTGGAAGTAATCAACAAATGAGAGGAACAAATGGTTTGCTTTTGCGACAAAGAAGCCGGATATTCTGGTGTTTGGTTCAGTGCACGAGCCGCAAACTTGACACTTTCGCGTGGTTATTCTACAGATGGTTTCTCAATGTGTTTCCATGAAAAGTTACACGCTCGCATTTAATCATACTCACATGGCCATTTCAAACTGCTCCATCCACTTCCTCTTTGTCTCCTCAGTTTTACAAAAGAACTGGAAGCCCTGCTTCCCTTGCAGATGGATCAGGTAGAAACCGTACGACCACTGGATACAAGACATGAGTGATGAACAGATGGCACAGAGATATGGGCACCGCAGCGACAGAAGCTTATTACTCCTGCGTGTTCAAATGAACAGTGTCCAAACTTCTGACTGGTACCGTAAGTACGACAGTATTCTGTAAATATGAATTCAGAGCTAAAAGATGCCCCACGTGCTTTAGCGTTGCGTCTCATCAAAAGCTGGAGGCCAGCTGGGCGCTTTTGCAATCATGACTCAAAAAAAATAACACCACAGCCAAAACACAGGCCAACATGAGAAGATGAGTTCAATAAACGGGTCACTTGAGCTTACCATTTTTCCACTCGACTGGTAAGCATGCAAAAAGAAAGACACCAGTTACACATGCAAACATGGACGGACACGTGCAGATTCAAAACAGAAAAGGGCAGGTTAGACTTGCGCTGCGGTACGATTCCATGAATCCTAAATGAGCTTCGTTGCATTTACATGGAGGTTTTTCCAAGCATGGGAAAGCGCGATGCAAATCGGATACTTCAATGCATTACTCATAAGTTGCAAATGTGGAATTACCATCGACAAGGTTGTTCAGCTCAAGGGCAACATTTGTAATGATTATACGGAATGTTTCATCAGCGGCCTTTTTTTTTTAAATGTGATGCAAAGTAAAAGGATGGTTCTCACCTTTTTCACGTCTCTGTTGTTCATGGGGTCGTCGGACATTTTATACGACTGCAGCTCGATAATTTCTTTGAGCTCATAGCAGTAACCTTTCCTCTTGCAGACAATGACCACTTTATCAAACAGGAATATATACCTGGACACACACACACACAGTTAACGGCTGTGAGAATACATGTTACTTTATTCCTCATATTTGTCGGGTGGTTGTTTTCCGTAGTGTGGACTCACCGGTCCTGTTTTGTTCGGTTGACGATGGAGGACACTTTCAGCTCTCCATCTATCTTTGGCCTCCCGTACTCCTCCAGTTTCACCTGCTGCTTAGGTCACATGAACACACTGAATGTCAGTCGACTGCTTACTATGACTTCTAGATGTAATGAGGAGACATCAATAATTCAGCATCACTTCATTTTAAAAGAGAATCCAAATAGATATTTAATGATACAGCTCGGAAACTAATGTTTCTAACTGTTCAGTTTCTCTCTTTTTTATTCGATAATTTCCTCTCAGTAGGAAACAACATAAGTAGAGTGGAAGGAAACAATAATAACTGAATAAATGAGAGCCGGCTTTTAGGAATACCATTAGAAATTCACATCCGTCTTCAATGTACACAGCTTCTTTATTTAATGTCCCTGCTGTGGGACTGACATCGGATTATTTGAATACTACAGATCTGTTGGGGTGACGCCAGTGTTCTAAGCAGATGAGAGAGTGCACGGGCTTTATCAAGCGCAGGTACCTTCTCTGTGATGCCCAGTGACTAATCTCACTGACAAACTTTGAATTGCAGCCTGGGAATAACATCAGTGGCAGAGTATTAGTTTTTATACACTAGATATGACTTCTGCAAAGGTTAAAAACAACAATGAAGTTGGAAAATTGGATTAAAAATGACACACTGTTCAAATGAACTATTCTTAATTATTATCTATTGAATGGTTGTATCTGATTTCATTTCACTCCAACAGGAAGACGATTCCTAATGGAAAAATTGCTGAGATCTTTTGCTTTAACATTAAAGGCACAATGCCTAGAACTCTGATTGATTTGTGAGTTCTGTTTGCAATCAGAGAAAAGCAGGCTCCTCCTCAGGACGGTGCTCTCCAGCGGGCGAAAGCCAACTCCAGATTCAGTCTTAATTACTTCATTTGGATCCAGCTTTGTAAACTTGGAGCTTCTCCTCGCTTTATTTATATTTTTGGCGCCGCGTCCAGAATATTGACAGCTCTTGGATGGGTGCTGACTGTGTGCATGCTAATGTAGAATCCCACCACTCATCACACACCGTTAGCCAGCCTTGACGATCCCGCTGGACGAAAGTGACGGAGCACTTCACAGTACTTACAAGGTTTTCTATGGAACTTTGGAATTCGCTGATTTTCTTCAGCGTCTCGTTGTCCCTCTTGACTTCGTTGATGTACATTGCCAGGTCCTGAGAGGGCAAAGCAAACATTCTTCCTGCCTTACACGGAAATCTTTTTGACATCTGTCATATCATTGTGGATGCACAGCCATCTGAGATGCAGTAGTCTCTGGTCAGGATTATGTAACAATTCATACAGCTCGGGCTTGGAGCACTGCAGAGTTGTATGTCATATTCCTACAAATTCACCCATGAACAAACCTACCTGCATAGCCTCCAGAGCCTCCTTGAGTTGTTGTCTCTCTGGTCGGTCCACTGAATGACTTAAAAGTTCCTGTGGGGGAAGATTATAATCACTATTTTGTTTAAAACACCCCCTTTATATTGTATATAGATGTGTGCTGCAACCATTGACTTCTAGAGTAATTAAAGAAAGCTGAATAGCAAGTATAGCTCCTCTTTATTGTGAATAAGGAATCAGGAAACATTTATTGCCAAAATATGTCAGACATACAAGGAATTTGTCTTGGCGGTTGGAATATGGGTGGATTGTCGGGTGGATTCAGGAAATCCTATTAAATCTAATTGTAGTACCATGAATACAAATGTGATGTTGCCAGCAGGCAGATTCATCAGAGAAAATCATATATGACAAACAAAATGGAGATTTCTTTTTTGTTTTTTTCTTTTCTGTTTGACTGAGGCTGAACAGAATGAATCAGCTTTCATTTCCATTTTTCACTTTTTCTTTTCAGTCATTTTTTTTCTGGAATGGCATATGTTGACTTGTCATGCCACAGGTAATTGAACTGAAGAGTTACCACGTTACCAGCGGCACTAGCCTAACCAAGATGAAAGTAACGCTACTCGGCCCTACTTGACTTTAATTACCTTTGATGTTCTAATCTATGTTAGATCTAACTGACCAGCTGACTCGACAGATCTCAATACCTCGGTCTGTTACTTTTGCACGACGGCCCATAAAGCTTAAGAGGAAAGATATGATCAGTGCAAAAGAGAATTACCTCTGAGATGACTTTACTAAGAGTGAGGCTACGGTACATAAAAGATAAAGGGAGCTGTGTATTCACAATGTACCAAACAGGGAAACACCACTGTGATGATATATGCAACATCAATTAAGGGACGCATGACTGGACGCACGGTCACAAAAAACACGACTTGTCACTCTGACAGGCCCCGAGGCCCCAGCATGCAGCGGTGTGTCCCTGCAAAGCTGTTGGTAGCAGTGAAATGGGGTGTGTTTAATTGGATTAGCGCGCAGTGGATTTGACCTCGGCGGCTTGCGGTGACTTCCGCAGGGGTTCGATTCAAACTAACGGACAACTCGCAGCACTCCCTCCCACAATCACCCGAAGCAAACACTCGCCTCCATCGCAGCCCATTATGCGCCGCCTCATAAACTCATATGTGTGTCCATAACTGGGATGCAAAGTCAATTAATCATGGGGAATATTACAGTGGTCAGCTAGTTGTGCACACTAGGAGGAGAGCTGCAGGGAGAAATATATGCTTGTGCTTATATAAACGTGGTACTTGTATTAGGGAGTGCAGTGTGCAATTAATGATAATAGCTGCCTGTAGCTTATTATTTCTCCCAAAAAAATTAATAAATCGAAAATAATTGTTTATTGTGAAATGAGCTTAACAATTCCACAAGCAGACATTTTTACAAATGTTTGGCATGATTTTGATAATGATTTGGTCACTAATGAAATTGTCATCAAAATTGCTGTGAATCAATCTTCCATCAATCAACTGAACAACAGAGTGAAAACTGAAACACTTGACCTGAAGCAATTCTATAATTTAACTGACTTTAAAATTATTTAAATTCAATAAGATCAGCATAAATGAACATGTCACATCTAGTTTTACATCGAGGAATGTTGGCAGGGGTTTTGAGATGAGAATAAAAAGTTAAGATTGATTCTGTCAGACCTATTAGCCCTTTCATTTAAAAAAAGTTTATAGATGTTTTGTTATTGAATAAAAACTCCAAGCTGACAACAACACCCTCCATTTAGAATGGAGCTACGCATATTTCAAAGCCCCCTTGTGAGAGAGAGAGAGAGAGAGAGAGAGAGAGAGAGTGACGGGTGTGAAGTAGTAATTTACATTCCATCTGCTGGGGGCCTGGAGGGAGTTCAAAGATTGACTGATCTGCCTCCTACCTTCAGCAGAAGGTGATACTTCAGCACCCTCTGCATTGGGACCACCAGAAGATCCTGCAGCTTGAACTTCCCATCCTGAACTTTCATGGTGCACTCCTGTGGAGCAGGAGGGAGAAGGAGCAGTCCAGTTACCACATGACACATTGCATAAAGCCACATTGACCGTTTCCTGCTGACAGACATTCATGTATTGTTTAATTATTCATCGGGTGTTGTTGCATTGCTGTGATTGCTTCCACACATTCAAGGGCGTCCCATTAGCCAGATTATTCCATCGGAGAGGCTGGGGGGGTGGACACAAAACCTGTGGTTGCTCCAGACATTCGCGACATAATTCCGACCGCTGACTGAGGAATGCCTCATAATTTACACATTTCTATCCATGTGCGAATTCTTTAGTTAGCATCATCTTATAAAAAGGGACAGTATAGCCCCCTTTACACAGGTCATTGTACATACTAAGATAGCGATACGCCGTTTGATTCTGTAACAAAGCTCGAGATTTGGGGATCAATGCCAACTGCTCAGGCTGCGATCACATCAGTTCTTCTGTCGACAGCTCCAGCGATTTATCCGGGTTAAAGGCTGATTAACCTGCATCCTACGATTTCAGAAGGGCATCAACCTTATCCTCTTTAATCACTTCAAATGTATCTAAAGAGGGTCATAGAATATGTCAAAAATGACCTGCAGACTATATTTACCAGCTTCAAATCATATATGCAATACAACCTTTTCTTTGCAAGAACTTAAGTAGTTTCAGCACAACCTCTGAGGCGGTTACTACAAATTCTAAACAGAATAAGCTAATTATTTTCCAGTAAATGGGGTAATATCAAGTTCAGTGTAATCCGATATGATGAAATGAGCAGCTCTAGCATATTTGCAAATTACATTATTTGCTCTTCTGATTTCCTCTAACTTTGTATGACCCCGGCTACTTTGGAACACATTTATGTTATTTAATGTCATAATCCATTTACTAGGAAATTTGATTTTTGCACAAATATGATTTTGTAAAATGTCAGATTCTATCAACCCGTTAGAGAAATTTGACTTGCTAATGAAACATGGGATTGTTAAACCACTTCTTACATCTGCTCAGTGACAGCACTGAAAAACAATTTTTTCTTCGCTCAGTTTGGTATTTTCTGTAACTACACACAGTGGCCATTGATTTGTAAAATCAATGAGGAACAAAATGCAGATGTTTTATTCGTTTGGACGTCTGCATCGTGTTAAATGTGTTGGTCAGCTGTAATTCAGTCAGCCCTTTAAGAAACAACAAATGATCCTTTTAAAGCTCACATATCAAAGGTCATAAGCAACAGCTCAGTCATTTCAATTCAGTATGACAAAACAAACTTGTGTGTTTCCACAAAAACACACAAGCTCGTTGGCTCGTCCTCTGCTAGTGGTCATTACCTCGACTTTAATCTTGACGTCCTCTCGTGTTGCTATTAGCTCATCCAGTGTCTTCTGCGCGTTCTCCATGTGGCTGCAGTACTGACCGTAGATCAACAGCCTGAGGGACACAATCAACAAACGCGCTGTCACACCCGCATCCACCGCCTGAAGGCTTCCTGCCGCTGAACACGTTTAACAAATGCTACAAAACAGAGGAAAACTCAGCTGAAGATTTGGATTCCGATTTTCTGGGAATACAAGAACATTTGGAAACACTTGGCCTCATAAATTCCCTCCGAACCCGTGTGAATGGTTAGAAATGAGGGTTAATAAACCCTAAAGGGGCTCTTTTAAAAAGCTTGGATATTCATGGCATATCTTTGTAAAAACACTGGGACATAAGAGATTGCTCCACAATTAGGTTGGTGCCTATCCGCAACGTAGTACATATTCATTTAAAAGATTAATAACACAATATGAGAGGTCAGCATGAGAGTCCTTCGGCACTATAGGGGACAGATAAATGAATATGTGAATAAATATAATTAAGAATGCACGTGAACACCATGAATAGATAATGACTGGATTCTGGTCCCGAGGCATTATGTGGAGGGGCGGCATCCTCCTGCCAATGAGCTGTAATCACAGCGCGCTAATGACAGACGCCGCTATACATCAGATGCTTCGCGCGGCTCCTCTTATCCGCGCGTGAGGAATGCAAAAAGGTCCTGATTCGGAGCGGGGAAGACTTAAGAGCTGTGGTTCATTAGATAATACAACGCTTCAGCTGGAAGGGAGTTCAAAGTCATCCCGCCTGGAGGATGCCACTGCATGTGGCACACATTGCTCGCACTCACAAAGTCAAAGTAGGTCACTGGCAAGGCTGGTAGAGTGTGCCCCCCCCGCTGTAGCACTGGTACTCCAATTTCCTATCTAAATCTTGAGTGGGGTGAGGCGGCGCAGAGAGTGATGCCCCCCCCGGAGTCGAGATCTGTGACACACAGTAGAACTGCTCACAAAGCCAGCAGGAAGGTTGTACTACGAGGGAGTGGAAGTAAAACCACCGCATCACATCCACGTCTGCTCCTTCCAACACACTTTAACGCTCTGTGCCGTCTCCCGTGCATGCGACTCTCTTCAGTGGTGGCGCTTCAGAAGCGGGCAGGAAGCAAGAGGAAATATCCCCAAAACATGTGGAGCATCCAGCTGTGCCAGCTGTGCTCCAGCAGTAGCAAACTTCTGTATACACAGTTGAGTTTATATTTAAACCAATATGTTGTCTATAGAAAGGTCCTCTAGCTACTAGTACAGCTCTGAAATGACAGCAGCTCCAGTCCACTGCTGCAAAACACAACATGACAGCTTCAGTGTATCGTGTGGCAGCAAATGAACATTTTCCTTTTGAACGTAGACTTCCTGTGACGCCCATTCAACAGTTGATCCTCCTTGAACCAGCAGGGCTGATCCCCGGATCTTCACTGGTGCCCAGGCTGACCTCTGACTACGGCCCCCGCAGGGAAGCCCTTACTTAAACCGGCCCTGGGCTAACAAGCCCCTGATTAAGAGCTGATCCAACCCAGGGGAGACAGCTTCCCTCGGCTACTGCCCATCCACAACGACAAAGTGATTGAGATTAATGCGGAGCCTGATCAATTAGACAGCGAGCGGACTGTGCAGCGTAGCCAGAGACACTCGGGCTCCCGCTGCGAATGTGGGAATCATTACAGCAGTTTAAAGGGTTTAAGACAAGATATTATGTTGAGACAAGATAATTAAAAAAGTTATGGAAAATGTTAAAGAAATATATTGAAAATTATACAGACATTTAATGAGAAATATTAAAGAAAAGTAAAGATAGACTGATCCGTAAAGTGAAGCAGCTGAGGTCAGACATGCTCAGTGTTCTTAAAAGGACTTGAACAATCTTTATCTTCCAGTATGTGGACTTAAAAAAAAAAAATACAGTATATGTATATTCTGTGATGAGCCCTGGTAACCAGCTGTCTGGTAAAACCTTAAATCAATGCAGTTTACCAGGTTTCCACACGATGCATCAGAACGTTGTTTTCACAATGTTGACACAGCCGAAGGAAAATGGTTTATTTTTCTGTTTCTTCTATTTGTTTCTCCAGCTGAGGCCTGATGAGTAATACTCAACTTCTCTATGTGCAGATTTGTATTTATTTCTGTTCATGTTGCGTCATCGCGTTCAACTGATTTAAATGCATGTTTCTTTTGTCCATCTGCTTCTGCTTCTTATTACCGAGCATTGATTTAGACAGTTTGCTTCCCCTTGACCATCAGAGCAGGTTAAACCAGTTGTTCAACCGGTTTATAATTTCTCATAATTCATATGGACGATGAGTGTTAAGGCATTCATTGTTAACGCATACAATCTAACATGTATAATGAGCATATTTTATTCATCATTGTCTTTTTTTCATTTGGATGTTGAGGACAGAGGATTTTGTATACAGTGAACAAATTTGTTGGCCATACAAAATGAATTCAATAGTCACAAGAAATGGCCTCTTAAAAACCTCAGATGCTACTTTTTCTTAAAAGCAACAAAATGATGTCCGCCCCACAGCATTGGAAGGAGCTGAGCGAATGAAAGTGATTAAAGGAGTGATTTGTTGGCTTATCTGGTCGAGTTCAAGAGAAGGCCATCCTTTAATGTTGCGTGCGCGCGTGTGTGTGCGCCTTTGCCACTACCTCACACACAGCACTGTGTGCTTGATGCAAAAGGCCCGTTTTCTGCTGCCTGAGGGCTCCATCTCTTTTTTATGTTTCCATTTGCAGCAAACAAACCAGCAGCCTCCACCATTGTGCTGTAATATCGCTGCCCACTTCAGCCTCTTGGAGAATGCATTTGTGGTTTGACAGTATATCTGCGCTCAGTAATCCGACCAGCCTTGTTCCCGGTTTCTGTTAGGAAACCAAAAGCAGAGCTACAAGCAGAATGAATATCAGACTTTCAACTCTAAATGAATGCTAAAGCTCTTTCGCCCAATGTCTAATTAAAACAGTGATGTGTTAAAAGTTTGCCATTGTAGCTTTATAGGTGATTTGTCAGGGAAATGTGTTCTTCCGCTCAGAATGGTTCTCCAAAACGGCAAAAGAAAAACTATGAAGGGAGTCATAGTTAGAAGAATCCACTGGCTTCACTTCCTCGCTTTTCTTTCTTCATAAAAACAAAAAGATGGTCACTTTGTATTTAATAAGACTTTTTTTTTTGTTTGTGTAGCCAAAAGAGATACTATAGCATGAAAGCCCTTATTTTTGGTGTTTAGTGTGCGTGTTCGATGCGGATGTCCACATGTGTAAGTGTACTAAAGCTGTCTCATACATTGTTTAGTCCGCACATGGACCAAGGTAGGAGCATATTGAGGTGCCCTTGAGCAAGGCACTGGATCCCCATCCGGCTCCCCGGCCACTGTGTGTAGTTACAGCCGCCCACTGCTCCCAATACTAGCATGGCTTAAGGGCAGAGGCCGATTTCCACTGTGTCTAATGGGCTGTGGAGCTATGCGACAATTAAAGTTGGTTTGTTAAGTTGTGTGTTCAACCAAACCAGAAAAAGAAATCTGTAAAATGCTGGTGCATGAATTAAATTAATCAAATAAAGGTTTTTAAGTGTATAAAAACTAAAAAAGCATCAATATCTAGCAGCAAAATATCACAACCAAGGTCAACTCAACTAGTAAAACTATAACCAGATCGTTGGACGTGTGGACACAAATTATACATGTAACAGATTTAACAGCCTTTCGTCTGAGGCCAGTCGGAGGATTGTCCTCCTCTCTGAGGGGCACTGGAACAAAAGGGCGGATGACACACACGCACACTGCAGCATGCCTCCACTCTTGGCGCAGTCGTGCATAATTAGTTTGTGACACGCTGATGAGCACACTTCTAACTTGACACCACGTCTCAACACATCACCGAGGGAGGTAACGACTCACCATGCCCTGTCATCTCCTTCAATTCATACTGGATACTTAGCAAAATAAAATACTGCCTTCTGTTTACGAGAAAAATAAAAAGCAAGAATTAAATACAAGTATTTTAATTCAATTGAATGTAAATTCTACATGGTTGAATTTAGGTGCACGTTTGTGCCAAATTTGAAAAGAAATCCCTCAGTCTAAATGTGCGTATGTACCAAGAGGTGGAAACAGGGACAGACAGCCCTAAAACATGAGGCCCACAGCCTTCAGGAGAGTCTGAAAAGGACGGTTTTCAAACTGGCTATGATGAAGACGAGAAGCTACTCGGCCACCTCGAGACGACAGAGCTCTTTTCAGACCGCTTCTCTTTTATTGGAGTCTGCTGGTGCAGTAAAAACTTGCTTCATTGAATTCCTTTCAGTGCCGTCATGTCGCCCTGTTGTTCTGGCCTCTCGAATAATGAGGACGCTGTCGTGCATGTTATTTCACAGAAAATGCAATTTTGACTAACCGCGCCCTGGGCCTTCACCACCCCCCCCCCCCGCCCTCCGTGGCGAGGCAATCTCCAAGTAAACCAGAAGTGACAGGCCGTGGAGCCAGCTAATATTCTCTGACACGAGGCATTGGGACCCCCTCACCTCCACTCAACATATCCGGCCCAAAGCAAATGGCAAAGACCCCCGATAGAGAAGCTCCCGGTGCCGCCACGATTAGGGACTGCGATGATATCAGCGAACCACGATTACTCCGGAAATGAGTTGGGAGAATGTCGAAAATGAGGATATCAACAAGAGGGCACTTAGATGCCCATTTAGTTTGTAGTGCTCCTACTGGGTGTATTTTCCCTTCAGCCCATTTCTGGCTGTTGGAGGAGTAGTCGAGTTAAATCAGTGACATTTGCAGCATGGCATTCAGTTCAATGACCAATAGAAAAGAAAAGGAAGAAAAGCTCTTCATCTCTCGCACCCACGTGAGAACAAAAAAAAGAAGGGAAAAAAGGATACAAGCACATTGTTGTAAAGGTCACCTGGACTTACAAGCATAGATAACCAAATGAAGCCCAAGCCCCGGTCCTCAGAAAAATCGCCAGGACGCCTGATGAGAGCGTCGCTTTGTCCAAAATACAAATCCCCTGGCCCCTTCAGCTCATCGCCACGGAGACAAGACACCACGGCGGCTTCTAATGAGCCCGGTATACATGTCAATCACATGCACGGTCAAAGCCTGCAACGCACAGAATCTGCAAATCTAATTAGCCATGTTCTTAAAATAACCGGCTTCTCATGGCTGAGAATGTCAAGGAAGATAAATACTAACAAAGCTCAGTGTGTCACCTGCAAATTTGTTTATGAATAGAAGATAAATGTTGCTTATTTCTGTCAGATAGAAGGTTAACAACAAGGGAGAAGACTGTACGTGTACTTTCATTCTGCGGCTCTTTGGGTTTGGGTGGTTCCAGTGAAAAATCTTAATGCCACAGTAAGCAATGACATTTCAGTTTCCATAAATAAATTGTTTTCCTGGTTCAGGGTGTGAAAGAACTTGACTAGAATGCAAAGCGCCTTCATCTCAACCCTGTGTGATACAAAGTAAATGCCAACTGAGACTTAAGCCACGGCGCTCCTCCTCTAGGAAAGCCTGTGGGTCACGGGATTCCAGCGGGATGGAAGACTTCATCACATGAGCATGTCCGGGTGGGAGTCATTTCAACAATATGCTAGTTTTTGTAATGCACGCTGGGATGGGAGTCATTTTTCTGGGAGTGGAGTTGAAACAGGAAGGAAAACCCACCCCAGTGTTAAATGGGCCGTACTGGTTTAGTGCATTCCTGTCTCATGACCACTCAGACACTCATTATTCACCCATTCATAGCGCCATGCACAGCGCCACCTGCCTATCAGAAACTAGCATTCACACACACACACCATAGTCACAGCTAGAGGGGCCGTTTGGGTTTAAGTGTTTTTGCCAAAGGACACATCGACATGGACACTATTGGAGCCGGGGACAGAAGTGCTGATTGATCAGATCGAAGGACAAGCCTGCTCTCCACTGGGCCACACCAGCAGATGCTAGAGGATGATCAATAGATGTAATGTTCCACAATCACATAAGTTCATTAAGTACGTTGTCCACGTACTTCTGGCCATAGAATTAGACTTTGCAAGTAAGGTTCTTTTAATGATATATATATATATATATATATATATATATATATATATATATATATATATATATATAGATAGATTGTTTGAATATTCAGATCGACAGGACTGTAGGAGCATTTTCCCGTTTCTCTGTCCCCATGCACATCCTCAAGAGAGAAACTCGTCCTTTACTGGAAACGTTGGCTAGTTAGACACTTTCTTTGGTTGCCTACAAATGGCGGTTTCCAACCGAGGTTCAATCAGCTCAGAGAGAACATGAATTAGACAAGGAAGGAGATGCAGCAGAAGTGTGTGTGTGCGTGTGTGTGTGACAGAGAGAAACAGCATGTGCCTGCCTGTCAATTAGCAGAAATTTACTTTCAAATGTCCCAGCAACTTCGTGTTACGTGGAAGAAGGAAGACTTCTTAAGTAAGAAGCATGCAACAAGTCCATTACCTATGACCTATGCAAACTGACCTCACCCGAATGCTTGTTTCAGACGGCAAGACGAGGGAAAAAAGTCTGTTATCAGGATCACGCAGCAGAATATAATACATGCTTATGCATGCAAGACACACACACACACACACACACATTTGGTCACATGTAACTCAGATTTGCAGTAATGGGGATATCACGCAAGGAGATTGGCATATCAAAGGCTCTGTATGGAATTAGAACCAGGGCCAGATCCTATCATCAGCATCATTACCATTATCTATGAAGAGCCACACTTCTGCACAGCAGGAAGGCAAATCACTGCTCCACATTATAAAAATGATCCCCACGTGTCTCAGCAGCTGGGCAAGACAGGGATCTGAGAGGAAACCACCTTCTAACAATAGACTTCTGCAGAGCGTTTCTTAAACAAGTGGAACGGTGCAGCTACAATACTCTAACTTGTCAAATTTGAAATAAATTAAACATATTCAAATATTTCAATTTTTCAAGTAATATATATGGTTTGCATAAAGATACATCCGACAAATATAAACAGTACGCGTTGCATCAATATTAGGGTTTAAAATTGTAGTGCAAATAGAAAAGTGTGGTTATAGTGAGAATGAGAGCAAAACCAGCACCAATGAAAGTTCTGTCTCATTTATTCATGGTGGATCGCTGGAGATTTGTTTGATCTTGAAACAGAACAAGAAAGGCAGCTGGCTGAACGTGGAAAAAAAAAAGACATTTGATCAAACACTTTAAAACCTGTTAAATTGCAGAAACAGGTTAGAATTATTTTGACTGCATATGGAGCACTTGTGTCTTAAGAAATTGGTACATAATATTGAATTATGTTTTGAAACTACAAGTGGATTTTTATACACAATGTAGCCAGAAGAAGAAAACCATCTGCTTGTAAAGGATGAACGAGGCAGACACATTTCAGGTCACTGACCTTTCCTTGAAGTCGAGAAAGATCTTCCCCAGGCCGCTTCCTCCACTGACCATGTTCAGGTCAATGGCTCGCAGGAGGGCAAAGTGGACTTTTATTACATCCTGAGGGCACATCAAAATGAATATTAATGCATTTTGCATCTACCCATTATATTATTATGCATCCTTTATATAGAGTGTTTGAATACAGAGTTTTAACATGGACATAAGCACTCAAAATAATCATTAATTATTTTCAACAGTCAAAGCCTTTGTTGCTTTAAACTTAATAACCTTTAATAAAAATTTAAAAAGAGCACTCGAGTTAACGCTCACCCCAGTATTTTTCACTTGTATAACCTGTAATCTTTATATTATTTGGACTACCCATAACGTGAGAGCCAGTTGAGAATGCAACTATATAGAATATATAGCACCTTATGCATGAAAAAAACAGATGTTTCTGTAACATATTGTATAATGTTAGTTGAGCATTAGAATGTTTGAATGAACAAACTCGATTTAAATAAATAAATAATACATGCTGTAGGAAGACCATCCTAATAAAGTGTTACCAAATGGTCCTTTGGGTGCTCCCAGTTAAAACTGTGTTGCTAAAAAAAGTGTTGCTGTTTGCCTGTCTTCTCCATTGACAACAGATCAAACATATAGACTATTGGGAGTTTCTCACCCCCCTTACGATGAGAACATTAAACCGTGACATCAGAATTGCGGCGCAAATCACAGCGTGAAATTTAGCATCCATAATGTACAACACGCGATATCCTTCATCCGGCCACCCACACGCGTATTGAATTATTCACTTAGAGCGCTGGACCTTCTGGCTCGCTGTGTGGAATTATTTTTCTCTGCTTGAGCGGCTACTCACCTCCAGGTTGACAAAGATGGCCTCCATGTCCTGTGGACTCATGACTTGCTTCAACGGGATCATGTAACTCTGAACAGAAACAGACAAATGGGGGGAAAGTTCAAATATAAACTCAAGTCCCTCCAGAGAAACAAATACGCTTCCCAGAATGGTCTGTCTTTACAGTTGGATAAAACGCCGTAAAGTTCTGTCCAGGCTTTTAGCTGATCTGTTCTGCACTCTACTGTCGAAGATGGAGCCACAATATTGTTGTTTACAGGGTGCGCAAGTTATTTGATTTCAGGATAAAACACTGGATCTGCCATAAGCTGATAGCATGAAGCTTTTCCCTGTGCTACACTTATGCTCACAGAAGAGAAAACCAGCTTATTGTGTTTCCCACGTTGTTTTAGGGCTGTCACATTCCATCATCACAAACAACAACAAATAGACCAACTAAGAAGCAATGAAGAAATGAGGCTTTATTAACCCCAACTCAATTAAGCCTAACGAGTCCTCTGATCACGAGAGGGAAACTTATTCCCGTTTAGTATCGCATCGGGCCGACGCGGCCAACACAGGAAGCACATTTAGTTTAATGAAATTAGCAGAGCGGATGATTTGTGGCGCTCCATCAAATCGCGAATGAAATCTGTCAGTGCAGAAAGTGATGTGTTAGCAGCGCCGATCCCAACGTCGGCTCCTCATCACACGGAGTTTGTGACCCTTCAAGGGCACATAATTTGCTGTTTTACGTGGATGCACATCGAGTTTGCCGGCTTTTGTCGGCCGTAGAGTGGTAACATTGGGCTCAGTAACTGTGATGGGACCGTGTAGAACGTACCGGTGGGAGGTGAGGAGGAGGAAATAAGGCAATAATTCCATCCAATATCAGGTGATTAAGCATGTGTAATGTGTAAGCGGTAGGTTCTTTTTTTTTTATTTAGCGGTTTGCTGGATAGACTCTCATGGCTGGGATGTGCGTGTCTGTACTTGAAGCCCCGGGGTCTCCAGCTGAGCCAATAACAAACCTATTGATCGGCTCCTGTGACATTTACGCCCTCCAATTAATGCGCAGATAGCTGACATTTCCATGCTGGGACTTGGCCCACAGGCCAGAGACGGCAACAAGGGCAAACTGACAGAAGGTAACTGCGACCCCCACATTTCATGTGATCTCACCTTCTCGATGTCCTCCAAAGTCTTGTAGTACTTTGCTTCCGTCTCCTGGATCTCCACCAAGCAGCAATTCCTCTTGTCGTCTTCCGTCATGCCCATTTTCTATGGTGAGATTAAGGAAATATAATTAGTCAGGATCATTTGATTGGGGATCATTGATTACGTTTCGTACATGGTGCACGTTTGTTACTTTGCGATGTTTTCAGGGGTTGGTTGTCGTGATGATTGCAGGGAATTACATGACGTTCCTACAGAAATGAGTTGCCAGTTTCACATTGATTATGAATCAAAATGTGTGATAGTCAAACACGATTTTTTTTTAAGTAGCATTTTATGTTTTAATCAATTCTCAACAGAAATATCATCACCGCATTTTGCAAACCTCGCTGTTGTGTTTTGGACATGTTCATAATTTATTTGGTATTTACCATTGCAGGCGCTCAATGGTTTCTATTCATTTCCACTGCTTGAGTTGTGTAATCTATGAAATTGCATTACCTGTAATAATAATAATAATAATAGATAAAGCAGTTACGACTTTTCCTAATCAGTTTACTCTGCGACCATGATGAAACATTAATAACAATGAATGAGGACATGATGGATTACATGACTCTGGTTTCTAGAGTCCGCTCTACCGTATTTCGACAGGATAATCTATTCACAATCAATCACGCTTTCCACGTAGTCCATGGCAGAAACAGATGATCTTTTATGTAATTTTCATACAGCCTACGCATGAATAAATGCAGTCGTTAGTGCAACCAAAGGAAAAATGTACCCAACAATTGAAACGCGGTCTGTGTTCCAACATGGTCTGCAAAAACGGGTTAACACGAGGCACAATTAGTGAGCTACAGCACCATGCGGCTCCACAAACGACTGCCGTTTGCAATTAACGTCGAGTTATTATAATGTAGTGTTGTTGTGTAACTTCCAGACGTTGCAAACGCCAGTTTGGCAATAAGTGCGGTCATTTAAAAGACTTATTTTAAGCAAAACCACGTTTTCCAAAGCCAAACCAAGACGTTATGTTGTCAGTGCATTTATCTGGAGGGGAAAATGTAGGACTGTAACAAGATGAAATTTGACACGCTGTGCCTGGGTCCAAAACTGTTGCTTGAGGCAGAAGGTCATAGAGATGCTTCATTTCTAGGGGGATTTTCTATGTTGTGGGAGTGAGTTCAGCAGGCCTGATTGTGTGGAGTTACTCACTAAGCCATCTGGAACAAATTTGGCTGTTGAAAAGCACAGCAAGTAATACAAAAAGTGGTATTAGCAATTTAGACATGCAAGTCTAGTCAAGGCCTCCATCCAGAAAGTAATAGGAAGCAGGGCTCAAACCCAGCAGGAAAACGTTTATTTATCTCGGGCTTTCCACGTGGCAGCTGGTGGTCCTCGCTGTCAACACTGCAGTCACCGAGCTCAAGTCACCAGCGACACCAGAGGGCCCCGAGTCGCATTGTGGACCAGATGGGGTTCCCCCCGCCCCACAGGCACGGGTCATTGATCTAAACTGGCAGACCATTCTGTTGGGATGCCACGAGTTTGTTTTAGATGGAAGTGGTCGAGGGAGTTAGCTGACAGGGTCAGTCACAAGCACAGCGCCACTCACCTGCATGTATCTGATCTGCAGCATAGGAAAGGCAAAGCAGCAAAAATCAGAAGTCAAAGAAATCACCACTCGTGTTAGAAAGTGCATTTCGAGAGATGACAAGATGCAAAGGTTTTGTTGGTTCACTGCATCTTTGCTGGTGCCATTGTATTGTCTAATGATCACCAGATGAGGACGGTGTCCCAGGTGACTTTGCTCACCATGGGTTGTCGTACTTCCACCTTAATGATGTCCTCATAGATGTCGTCCCCATCGTCCTCACACGGCACGCAGTCGTAGATGTCATCCTCACCCAAGTCATGCTCGCTGGGGGAAAAGCACACAAGGAGGATGAACAACTTAACTCACAGGATGGATCCTCTTATAGCCCCCGTGTTCATTTCAAACTGCTCCGACAGCAGGAGGGGTTCTGAGGGGGTCACGCCAGCATGCACTCGTTACCTCTCCCGGGCCCTTCCTGCAGAGCGAAACCGCTGTTGCAGACGAGCGGACGCAGCACCCCGTGTTCACAAACCTGCACTGACATGCGTTATTGAGCGGCATTTCCATTCAAGGTACTTATGCACCTTTAATTGGGCAAAGCAGCGAGCAGACGGTCGCTGTGGGGAGGAGCATCTCTCTGGGAAAGACCCTCATGCTGAACCAGCCCACACTTCACCTTCTTTTGTCCTGTAAAAGCAATTATTGTTTGGGGAAAGGCACTGGGGCTGTAGCGAACGCCCAGGCAGGAACACGCTTTGGCATCGGGCTCACATCTATGTGGCTAATAACCAGAGGGCTTTAATGGTCGCCGAAATAAATGATTAACTACTGTTAATAAATAAAAGTATTGCCATTAATAATGGAGGACCAGGGTTCTAGCTTGGCAGCCGCTCGCTTGTTTTAAGAAAACCTTCCACTCACCTAAAATGACCTGCAGGCCAAATAACACTCACATGTCAGTGTGATGCTGTGAATCACAGCGGCGCGGGAGTGTTATTTGGCCTCTACTTCCTTCTTGTGGTTTACGTTTGGCATTGAGAATTAATAATTATACCAAATTTGTCAGTAATAAGCAGTTCCTGTTTGCAACTTAACACTATACAAATATGAATGAGTGCGTGGATATTATTGTCAACTTAAAAAACACTTCTCAGTGTACGTAGGCATAGAGAATATGTTCACACAGAATGCAAGAGCATCATGTTCTAATTTGGCTTTTAAAAAGTACCGTAAATCGACATTTGACCGCTTTAATGAACGGGCCAAATTAACAGGTGCAATAACCAACTTCCTCTTTTAAGAGCGCCCTTTTCACCGCCACCTTCTTTGTATTCTGTGTAAATGAAGGAATAAATTCTATAAAGAGTGTGCTTTCTAAGCTGCTCAGAAGAGGAGAACCTGGGCTCCAGCTTGCTTAAACGTCCTTGAGCGTGACATTCTGTGCCCTCATGCAGGGGGGAGGCTGTTTGTGCTCTGACCTGCCTGATTGGGGGTAAGTGCCTCATCCAGATGTATCTGTTTGTGTCCCGTTTGAGGAAAATACTTCTCTACTGATGGAGCAAAACATGTACAAAAGCATTTCAACTTGAGATCTCTGAAATGGGATGTCGTGTAAGGACTTCGCAAGATTCATTGATTCATGAATATTATAAAACAGGATTCATGGGCGCGTGTTCAAAAAAGAAAAAAACACAGGTTACAGGGTTTTCTCCACTGCGACGTGGGCACCTACGACCTTCTGCCTCCGTCATCTTCAGAAGATTTCTCCCTTCAAAGTGTACATGAATAGGGACTGAAAATCAGAGAAGGTAGAAATACGCCAATTGAAATATTCAGCTTTGTCAGTGCTGCGATTGTTTGAGGTTTTAATTGAGGTGGCCTGAGCTGCTTCTTCTCCATCATGACGTTACAGCAGCTCATGTTAAACACAGAGGAGCCGGGTGGCCCCCGCTGCCCCGCAGTGGTCTCCTCTCTGAGCCCTGAGATAACAGCACGCTTCACGCTGACCGAAGTGATGCTCGGAAAAAGATGCTGCTGCACTTCACGGTCCGTTTTAATCCCTCGGAGACGGATTTGTAGCGCAATGATCTGTGACCTATGAGGACCCATGCAAAGACCTAAGAGGGGCTGGGGCTATGGGGGAGGGAAGTGGGGGCTTTTTTTTAATAAAACGATTTATTGTAGGAATAGACCAGAATTAATATTCTAAACAAATTTTAGAAATGTAATAGATAAAATAATGTGAGAGTTTCCTAAACTAAAGCTATTAATCCTGATCTGGTCAAAGGTTAAATATTCCATTGATCAAAGATGAGGATTTAGACGTAGGTCTTACCGGTTGGTTACTTTGTTATTGTCCAATATTTCTTTGGTTCAATCGGTCAGTTCAGTATAATTGTAATGCTTTTCATCGATGACTGACAGACTATGACTTTACACCACCGGGGCTGAGGCTCAAAAAGAGAAACGGTTCCCATCAACAGCGGATTTCATGTATAGCTCCTGTTCTGCTAATTGTCTACTTTCATAATCCCAAAGTACAGACAACTGGATTTAATTCTTTCCTCTTTCATTGATATTTTTAATGCAATGTGTGCCAAAAACCAACCACATCTGTCTCTGTCTCCAGACCTCTGATTGGTAATGTCATTAACAAGATCCTTAATATACCATCTGTTGTCACAATCAATATGCATTTATTTTAAGGGAAAAATGACCTTGCTTGTTTACAAAATGTAATGAGCTAAAGTTGTATCATGACCATTTAAAGTAATTTGTAAGCAAATGAGTAATTATAAACAAACTTCATTATCACAAGAGCTATACAGGAAAATAGTGAACTACTTATGAACAACACACTCCCTTTTTAGATCGTTAGCTCAAGGTCAGGATTTAGTTATGATGCTTTGGCTTTACATATGTAGCATCGATGCTGAACTTTTTAGTAATGGTTTAGTGTGTGTTCTTCAATTTATGTTGGTTGGCCCAATGAATCCTATTAATGCACTTTGGGTGAGCTTGTACATATAAATGCATCACATCTGATTAGGTTTCTACCAACATACAGCTCTGTTTTTTAATACAGTAAGGTTTTAAAAAAAAAGTTTTATTAAAGCTGTAATAGTAACAATCCTTTTAACAGGATTTTATGATCTCAGTCACTACTTTCAAATCTTGATTCAATAAAACATGCAGTTCAGTTAGTAAACAATATGTATGATTTAATGCGTTGCTACTTTTTGATTGACAGGTTTGTGTTTTACAACTTTTCACAGTGGGTTTTCAATTGATAAAAGTTAATGAAAACCTCTTCACTCACCAAAAAAAAGGTCTTATTGAACGTTAGTTAGTTAGTTCCAGCTTCTAGTTCCCTTATGCTGCAAAACAACAACTTGGCCTCCGCCAACACTAATGACCAACACGGCAACAAAAGTGGAGGCTTCGAAGCAGCAGCCTCACTAAACATCCCAAAAATACTTTATCCCGATGGTGGTAATATTCATTTGAATTTAAAATGTGACACATAGTTCCACCCATTGTGAAGACGTTGATGTTCTCCTGCCAAGCTAGTGGCACAAAAGCCTTATGACAGTGTTTGCTTTAGAAATCCATGTGTGTCTTTCACAGAGGAAAAAAAGTCTCTTGGTTGTACTGTACGACGCCCCCCCCCCCCCCCCCCTTTGCTCCCCCCGCTTTGTGTTTTGTCCACTCCCGGAAGGAATCATTCCCGACAGGAAGAAGGACACCGAGACTTGAGATCACAAAGCCCAGAAGAAAGAAGTGTGGATCGGGTTTACCCATTAACCCAGGAGAACTCCATCAGGTAGAAGCTGGCCTCCAGCGGGCTCCGAAAACCCTGCCAACAGATGTGGTGCAGCAGGAATCAAGGCGGAGGACGCCTCACCAACACACACATACCCGCACCCGTCCTCTCAGTGCCATTCATTTACAGCTGTAGGCCTAAAGCCTCCGTTCACCTCGCCTGACATGAATTATTCTGGCATGAGAGTATGGAAGTCCCCCAGCCAAGGGACCCGGTACAATTATCTTTTTAAATGGTCAAGCACAAACATTCTCACCTAAGCTTAAGGCCAAGCTGCCGGGTGAAGAACGACCATCTAGGAAAGTCTTAAACATCTGTGCAACCAGTACCGTCGTGAAACGCCAGCCTCCGTATCCTTAGTGAGCAGTGAACCTCCACCAGTTCAAGTCTTTTGGATGCTCCCGGTGAAAACGGAAGGTTGATCGATGGCTGCTGGAAACATCCTCCATTGAACGTTTGGTCTGCTGGCATAAACTCTGCTTTTAAATCGCACCGCAAAATCAATTTATATAGATTGCTTTCCATTGCACTTAGTATCCTTTGTCGCCTTATCACTGAACTTAATGATGCCATTATATTGATTTTTATTGTTTGCTATTCCAGACGGGTTACTTTCCTTACACTAAATGTTTTTGGTGACAATATTGCCTTTATTTTATTCCCTACATGCTTTTAATTTTTATGACACCATGTTGACGGTCAGGGTTTTTTTTTCTTCCGAGATACTGTGAAATAGTAAAGCATCCATAAAAAAATGATTATATGTACTGCAGAAAGATCATCCTTGTCCCCTCCCTCACTCTAGCAGTCACTGCCATGCGCCCTTGGTAAATTATGCATACATCAATATTTCAGGCTAATTAATAAGTCTTTCAGGGCAGGGTTATTGCTGGCGTGGCCTATGTGCTAAGTTTGTCCACGTTTAGTGGGTGCAGGACCTGCTGATGAATCAATTATGTGTCCGTCCGTGGATGAAACTAAATGCATACATGTTCTTTGTAAAAGGTCAAGAGCACCCATGGTGCAGAGGAGCATGATTAATTGAATGAGACCAAAGTCCTTTGCACCTACAGGTGACACCAAGAGCACAGCATTGCAACATTGACCATTTCAGAACATATATATAGAAATACTTAGAGCTACTTGAAGCTTTTTTCTATTGGCCTGTGGTTGCGAAAATAAGTCTAAGATCTAACAATTTGTCTCTGAAAAGATTCCCCTCCTCTCTTGATTTATTACCTCAGCAAACACTGTTGACATGCGTTTACTGTCGCAAATTGCAAGACGTTCATATTGTAAATGATAGCTATTTAGGGTAAAAAAGACAATAAGGGTGGGGTTGTGCTTTGGGGCGGGGCCACCTTGTGAATGACAGGACTCTACCGTGGAGAAAAACACAAAACCAAAAGCCATAAAAATACTAAAGTATATAAGACACAAGCTTATGTTCATTTACTTTACTAGTGGACTTTGACACTTATTGCTAAGCATTGCATGGACTCGCTTCCGCCATTTTTTTACAAATTGAATGTAATTCACCGTACTATGCGTTTTTTCATACATTTATTCATGATGCATTTAGGAAGAATATAGATACAATAACTTTTTTAAATCTTTTATGAGCATATTTACATCCTTGTTTTTTTGGTATAGAAAAATCTTTGAATTGACACATTCTTAGTTTGCTAAATGTGTGGCTAACATGCGCTCTAATCCAGCATTAGCCCGCTTGGCTGGGACCCACCTCCCCTAGCAAGAGCACAATCAAGTATTCATCAGGCATATAGCCATGGCGCGCATGGTCTCCTTTCTATCTCCTCTCCTTCCTTTCTGTGATGAATGACACCCATCTCAGAGCGGTGGACTAATTACTCTCCATTAATCAGAGTTGAGCGGCTGCTGTCACCCTTGCAAAGTCCAAGGTTCTACTTTTCTCTCTTTTGCATTTAGCAAAAGCCCATCTCTCACACACACACACACACACACACACACACACACACACACACACACACACACACACACACACACACACACACACACACACACACACACGGCGGCCAACGAGTCGGGCGGAGAGGCCGCCGCACCAGAAGACGGAGCAGGGACGGCGTCACCATTGCAACGGGCCGAGTGACACAAGGCTTGACACTTATGTAATGAAGCGGTAAGAGAAAATCATCAATCACGCTGAAACATCACATAAAGATGTCTTCTATACATGATGGGGAGAGAGTTGTTATGGCTGTAGATGTAACATATAGATAATAGATAGATAGATATACATCAACACTTAAACGATTTGGACAAAATTTGAAGCATGATGGGAGACGCGACTTTCTGTACCCTGAAATACGCTGAGCTAAATGTAATAGTAACCAATGACTTTCAGCAGCAAGAAAAATAACCTGTTTAAATCTGCTGCAACGTGAAATGCTTTTTCAAAATTGTAATGTTCTGTGCCGACAGTTGAAAACAATGGTTGTTCTTGATGATAATCTTTGTGTGTGTACGTGCAATTGCATTAATCACAAATATTGGACATTTACAGAGCAGAGCTCCACCTGCTGTTTGGCACACAAGAAGAGCGGGTCCCCACAAGCATTTGGCTCGATGTTTTAGGTGTTTGAAAGGCTTAGTAAAATCGAAGGTCGAGGTCAGGTTAACGCAAAGGGTTTGTGAAGTTTAAGTTTAGAGTTAGGTCTCTCTACGGTCATCCTAAGTGGCAAAAACAAATGTGTGTGTGTGCAGTGTATTTGTTGTGGAATGAACACTTACTCTGCCAGCTCTTCAAGGCTCCTGTACACATCATCCTCATTCAGAGCGGTGTCCTCTGACGGAAAGGGCCTGGCACACGCACGCACACACACACACACACACACACACACACACACACACACAGATGGGAAGAGGGAGAGAGAATATAAAATATTAGCGGACAAATCATTGCATCCCACGTAGGAAAAATAACCAGTCAGAACACGTGTGTCCTATCCAGCAGGTTCTCACTGTGGCAGCTCGACGGCAGGATTTATTGAACGGAGGAGCCCATCAGTCACAAAACAACATTGTCAAAACACATCAGCACACGGCTACTGACAGTTAAGAAAAGAAACTGCCATCTTCACACGGTCGACATTAGCAGGAATTCTGCCCCTTTTTCCAGACGGATGGCCGGGTGCCTGATAAATCCTCTCAAGGGGGTTTGGGCAGCTTTCAAGGTCCATCAGGGACAACGTGGAGCGTGAATACAAAGTAAATAAAAAAAAGAAAAAAAGAAAATCATGTTTACAAGCTTTTTTTTTTTTTTTTTTTCTTAAACAGAAAAGGCGAGGTTGTTTTTGCGCCCTTCTTTTTCGGCAGGCAACAGCATAAATACAAAGATTCCTGCGAGCTCTCCCTGCAGTAACTTGAATGATTCCTCTTGGCTTTCTTCTGATTTTCTTATTGCGAGTGTCAACAAACAAAATTACACTCCTGGGAAGTGACAGAGCATAAAAACGCATAACTAATCAATTAGCTCATTAAGCAGGGTGGACTTAGTTCATGTGTTTTTAAAGATAATAGCTTTCTGCAGACATTATTGAGAAGGGTGTGATTAGATTTTGATTTGGCCAATCATGTTTATGGTTTGCGATTTTTCCCCACAGGAATTGATTGCTACAAATTATAGCCTATTAGCTTAATGTTGTGCACAATTGAAGCTCATAAAAAAATCAGCGTGGTCACGAACGGCGCTAATCATCAACCACGCTAATGTTACTGAAAGGGAAATAGCTTTTAATTTTAAACTTAACCGATTGTTTCATCATCTTATATAACATGACACTCTACAACGTGTAGAGACACAGAAACGAGGGAGAAAGAGGCAAGACATGCAAAAAGGGTCAAACCTGGGACCTCGCTGCAACGTGACGTACAAGCAAAGGCAAAAATTGTAGCAGACACAGATGAAGAGAGGGATGTTTGATGGTGATTTTAATCATAAGAAAAATGTTCAAAACAAAACAGTAAGAGAGTAAAGAAATGTGAAAAAAAGACTAGAAAAACCAGAAGGGGTAAGGCCCAAAAAAAGGATGCAGTTATCACAGTATGAAAAAAAAGGATGCTTAGACGACAGCAGGGAACGTACCAGGATGCATTGCGGCGCGGGACCATGCGGCCCAGAGCAGGGTGCATAACACTAACCGAGACTAAGACACACAGGGTTTAAATACACTGACGAGGTGATGAGACACAGGAGGATTCAATCAGGGGGGGGGGGGGGGGGGGCAGACAATCACACAAAGGGAGGAAGTGAAGTGAACAAGGGGTCACAAGAAGCAGGGAAATTCAAAATAAAACAGGAAACACGCAAAACAGAACCTGACACATGGAGTCTATTTCCTATAACGTCCATCTGCAAGGGTGGTGAAATGTCTCAAATGCATCACAATGTACTGCAGCTTCAGTGTACAGAGTTGTTGGTTGCTGGTTTGATTGCAGCATACTGTTATTGATGTTACTAATCTGAATGATGTAACTACATAATTGGTTTTCTTACTGTCAAAGAGCCACTGGACACACACACACACACACACCATTATTCAAGAAAGTAATGGAGAACGAGGCAGCGATGGTTCAGGGGAAGAGCGCGGTGTGCTTAAGTGTTTGACTTTGTAATCAGAAGGCAGCAACTGCCGGACTGTGATTTATGATAAACCATCATTTCCATCTCCAAAGTGAAGTAGATTTGCAACACCGTCCGGGGTATTTTCAAGCCGAGAATTCCATTCATACTGAAGTAGAATATCTCTTTTTTTCATTGTGGTAACACGTCAAGCAGCATCAGGTAGAACAGACCGGGATCGTAGTCGTTGCCACATTCCACAATGACGGACAAACCGGATGCAAACTGCTTTTGTGCAAAGTGGGATGAAAAGCATAAGAAAAAGCATATTCATCGACAGATCTTGTTGCTTCTAATCCTTCAAGAGCAGATGAACCGTATATAATACAGACCCGAGACCAACCATTCCTCTTTACAAACGTTATGGCACATTAAAAGGTCGGTAGAGTTGTAAGCATAGGATGGGAAATGAGTCATATTTTTTCCGAAATTGTTTTTGACAGGGAACCTCCCTGAGGAAGAGCTTTCTCTTTGCGTGTTGATTATGTATTGCTACAGAAACCCCCATCAATTAATCCATATATCCCAACGACGATATCCCGCCGATGAATTTTAAGCACATCCCCAAAGTAAACGAATGAAAGTCTCTTTCAGTGAGAAGGAGAGGACACTGGGACATTCAAAGCTCTTATAAAAGGCACTCAGCTCTCTGCAAGCACCCATGTGAAACCCCTTAAATGTGTTTAATCCATGATATGAACAGGTGACATTTTACTGTGATATCACCTTCTTGCAATGTTCTTAAAGAGCCAACGGCAGGGACCTGAAGTCTCAGAATAGCAACCAACCAAATCATCACTATTATAAGGAACCTTTGTTTCCTTGTAATACATTTAATACTTGACGTACTTCTTTGTAGGACATGTATAAAGGCAACAAAACAGCCCATGGATACGAGTTCCAGGTAATTACAATTCCCCACTCAGCATTTAGGAGGTTGGTTAATGGATTTTGCCGGTAACACTTTTATCTTTATGTTTCTTTGTTTGGACACCCGCTTACTTATAATGGACAAATAGTAACTGATTGAAGATAGTTCAAGTGCACACGGATGGGCCAAACACATGACGGTTAAAGTATGATCTTTTCCTTAACCTTAAGGTGTGCTTTGTTGAAGCACCGGGGTGACAAGGTGTCGATAACTGTGTGATGCCAGCTCTCGGTCGGCTTTTTGTAATTAAAGCAGGCTGGAAAGAGCGTGTCAGCCACGGAGTTAATGAATGCCGAGCTACAGCCAAAAGGTCTGCCGGTCACCCTCGGGCATCTGGGTCCTGCAAACTCCAGCCTCCTCTGATTCATGAACTTTGCTAACTCTTCCATGTTTGTTTATTAAACACCTCTATTTCCAAGAGCTAATTACAAGTGATATTATTAAGGAATCATAATACAAAAACCGCCTCATCTGATTTATGTTACTATTCTCACTAACTGTTGTGAGAGCAAAGAGAGAGCAGAAGGTGCTTCCTCCAGAGTGCAATAACACACACAATCTCATGACCCCCTACAATGAAATGTGCATTATATTATAAGTTATTAATGGAGTCCCGCAGGGCTAAATTTAATTACGTAGTAGTTTGCAGGGCTTTGCGCTTGTATACATCTCCCCATGGTCTTGCGGAGCCGAGCTCATCCCAACGCTGCCGTTTTCATTTTGGATGAATGAGACCATCAGGTGTAATCGAACTGTGTTCATAATTTCATCAGGACTCCAATGATGAGCCGTCTCTTGGGCAATCAATAATGCTCTATAGTGCTGCTGCCGTTGTTAACTCCTTTACACAGTGCGGTACACCAGACTAGTTGTGCTTTTTCTACAAAGTCTTAGTTTAACTTTTACACCTCTCATTATCCCCTACTCATAAAAATAACTACTATTGGGTTCACCAAGCTGAATGTGTTTAGCAGGACATGTTACAGGAGAATTAGTCCTATTTTAAATCTGAAGAAGCTGTTAGCCTATTACTAAAGGATTCATTTTATGATGTAATCTTCCTTAAACTTTCTTCCTTAAATTTTCCTTCTGGCTTCTTCTGATTATTTTTGTCCAATCTGTTTAGTTGTGTATCTTTTAGTCTGGTTTCAGAAAATGTAAATACGTGGAGTTTATTTTCAGATGGGCATAGAATTCAACCTATTAATATTCATTTTTTTTTAAAGACTGAAAATGCACTTGAGTGTTTCTTTCAGGGGGAAACAATTCTAAGTAGATAATATGAGCCAAATTATAATTATTTTTCAAGCAAACTTATTATTTTAAAAAACTATGTAGTATAAAATACTACATAGTTTGCATTTGTGTTGCTTTATTAAAAAAAAAAAATTATTAAAAGAAAAAAAGAAACAGATCCGGCGGCATTTTGCCTGCAGAGCATAAAAAAAAGAGCTACGTAATCTTAATAAGGCATTATCTGGTAAAATAAAGGTTATTAATACAACACTTCCTTATTGTAAAATATAGAACACAGATTTCCCCTCCTAATCGTCTCTGACCCAATCGTTAACTCTTCAAACACCCTCCCTTGCCTTTTCTCACTGGATGTAATGTCTCATTTCTATTTCCGTCCCTCCTGGATGCACGCTGAGGGCAGCGCGTGCTGCACAAAGCCACAGTGAGCCGGTGCCATTGATCCAACAGAAGAACAACGGCGTGGTCCTCTGTTGTGTTCATATCCCAGAACACGGCTTCTGTGTCTGCAGGGGTCGATAAATACCCGGAGCTACTGAAAGTGTCTACTTTCTACAGTCATTGTGCCACGCCTGTTTAAACCGCCCCCCCGCGGTGAGATGTGTGTTAAATGAAATAACGAAGAGCCTTTCTTTTGTATGCGTGATGTTTTTTGTCACAACATTTACTAATGGATGTGAGGCATCCAAACATAAGTGAGACATGAGACAATGTGCATTCTAATGCGTGGGATGTAATGCGGTGGCGTGAGGGGGGCCGAGCCGAGCCGACGGGATGAGGAATCATGGAGGGAGGGAGGGAGGAAAAGTGCAAACAGTGATCCTGTCCTAAGCTGCTGTCTACTACAACCTCCTCCTCTTAAATCACGAACAGTGTAAAACCACAAATATGTGTTGACATCTTCTTTCAGTAAAATCTGCTCACTCGCTATTTCTCTCATTATATTCTTCATCTTTTTTCATGGAAGAGTTGGCTTCAGTCATGAATTGCTTTTCATCTGGTATATGGCATATTTTAAATTGAAATGTCAGTGTCATTACAACTTACTTTAGTATAGTATCATCTTTTGGTCTTTGGATTAAATGAATGAAGCAATTTGACTCAGACTTTAGGAAATTCAGATGATGTCATCTGAATTTCATATATTATATATATATATATATATATATATATATATATATATATATATATATATATATATATATATATATTAACCGAATAATGACTGAAAAGCGATGAGTCAGGCAGTTTGTGTATTATTTTGAACCAACCAATTAAACCTGTGATTGTTGAAACAGTGTAAAGAGTAACCAACATAGTTTTGGTGAATAAATCAGTAATCAGCGTTTGAAAATTTCAACATATCACCCAACCCTAAATCTAGCTATATGAGTGGCTGGAAACATGTTCAGCATCAGATTAAGAGAGTAAATTAAGTTCTAGGTAGCTACCTTTGTATGGTAACCATTTTTCCTTTTACAATCTGCTCATGCCCACATTCTGTGGCTGAGTATAATTTGGATCAATCTGTAGCATTGAGTAAATACACAAAAAAAGAGGATTTACCATTAATCAAAATCACTACACTGCAGGTTCTCACCCACCCATTGGTGTGGTTGTAGTTGAGTACATTCAGACCTACATAAAGTCATAATTTACCTGATAAACAAACTCCTGAATGTAAAGTCATTCAAACCATTCCTCAAGCAAGAAAGGAAATCATGTTCCTTATCGAAACGTCTCTACAAACTTCCTCCTTGTCCGCTCTCTGTCTCGATGCCAAGCCGAGGCCCCTCGCGCCCTGCGGCCCCGATCCCCTGAGCCCAGCGCCCACCCGGCAGGACCTGGGACGTTGAAGCATGAGCCAGTTGGAGGTCACGGTGTGGCTTTCTGAGGACAGTGAGGATAAGCAACAGGGTGGGAGGGGGCTGAATAACAGGACGCAGGACGGTCTGGGGTTATACAGTAGATTCTCAGTGAGGAACACAAGGTCAGGTCCTGGGACACATAAAGACATGAGGCCTGAACACAAAGGTTACAGTGTGTGGCTGTGATTGATGTGTTTTACAATAACTGGTTCACAGATGAAGGCCAGGAGACAATATGAAGGAGGAAAATGAAACGCAATTAAGTTAAATGTTCTTTAAAGAGACTGAAGAAGAAATTTTCAATCGTTAAAAGTTGTCACTTATCCTACTTGATCGATGTTCAATGCATTTCAAATTTGTGCAGAAGAGAGCGGAATAAGTTATTTGGTGAATGGTGTCTGTAAAGCATTGTGTCACTTGTATGAGAGGTGAAACGGAGGACAAATCCACTCATTGCTGCAGAGGAACAATTGAAAGGAAGCTTATCTCCATATTCGTTATTGACTCAGACTCATAAGTATTACGTACAATGGATAGTAAGAGAGCACTTAGAGATATTTGAGTAAGTTAACTCAAGTTAAACTATGAAGTGCCGAAACAATTTTAGGCATGTTGAAGAAAAAGAGGATAATTAAAGCCTGCAGTCCTAAAAGATAAGACAGCGTACTGCGCATCTCTATTGATTGCGAGTCCATCTCTGGACATGCAGAGCAACGTGCAAAATAAATCAAAGGTTTTTCCATCGGGGGCCGGAATGCTGACAGAGTGAATGAGACATGAGCTATCGATGTCTGATTACAGGGACCGTGCATCACAAAGACCAGATCAATGGGCTCCAGCAGAACATCGATGGACAAGCCTGTGGCGCATTGTTACCAACGCGGTCAGGAAGTCTCTCCCCCTTTTCAACACACAATGGACGGCCTCATGCGCTGCCCCGTGCGTTAATGATCGGAGTGTGTGGGACTATCGTCTAGGCATTGTGACCACCCCGCTGAGGGACCGCAGCTTGACTGGATCCATTAAATCACTCTATAGGAGAGTTCAGTTCATTCACCTCTTAAACACCTGTTTAACTTTATGTAACACCACAAGCCTCCAAACTTCACTGACAAGCTGGATCTCTTTCTAGTCTCTCTGAAGATGAAGGGAGACAGAGAAGAGGTCCCTGGTTGAAATGAAGTGTGTAAGCACTATCCTGACATGACGTGACCACACCGTGGTGCCCGTAGACTTGGCGGGCCTCTCTATATGGCTCGCTACTCGCATGGACAGTACGGCATGTGTTCTACGGCCGATCTAAAGCCTGTACATGGTTGACAGGGGCTTTGAAGCGTGACAGAAGACATCTGTCAGGTCCTTGAGCCCTTTGAATGCAGCCGACGTTGCCCTGAGCAGAATTACCGGGGCGAGGGTGAGGGGGACCCTTTAGAAAGGCCGACTGGGGTCAGAGAGCATACGCGTTGTGGAAGTGCTCTGTTCGATATCACACCCTGCTCATGTCAAAATCATACACTAAATGACAGGACGTGAGTGTCAGACCTGCAGCAGATGCATTTAGAGACACACTTTTGTTTAAAGCACCACCACGTGACAACAATCCTGTCAAACGGCAACTGAACTGCGTGCTGCTGAGCACAGCGCATTAGATGAGGGAGGGACAAGGATGTAAATAGACTGGATTCTTTTTCATGGCATGGTATCTTGGTTATACTGCACACAATACGTTCTTGGGACAGGTGTAAGTCTAGCTGTGATTGTGCTGTTAACACAGAGGTGCAACATGTACAGTATTTATTGCAGTGGAAATCCAGGCTGCAGAAGAAAATATGACAGGAGCAAAGAAACTGCCAGTAACTGCTCAGGGTTCAGCAATGTGTTGGATATTAACAGTGAGTACGGCCTTCTGTCAATGCCGACTGAAAGCCAACGTCTGGCTCTGCAGCTCCTTTCGGTATCCATATATTTGCTAACAGATGGGTCAGCGCCACAGGAAGACCAGACCACACAAGGTCAATGAAGGTCATTGTACCTGCAGTAGAGACGTCCTGTGTGAAAAGGGAGTGAAACATGCAGCAACTTAAAGAGACCCGGACATGTTTCTCGTTGCAGGTTGCAGGGAAAACACACAGCTAGAAGGCGAGTGAATAATCGACTCACATTTACGGTTTTATTTGATTTCATGAGATCACTGTACTGGCTACACAAATTCCACCTCTTACACCAGATGAACCGAAATGAACCACCCTGTACATCTATGTCAGGTTTAAAAAGTGGAAACTATATTCAGAACAAATGTGAAGTTGTGATAATTGTGGGTTGCAAATGACTCTTCAAATGTTAAGTTGTTTCAGTCCTCAAAGTATGATTGAGAAACAAGAATGATTATCAAGATAATTATTTAGGGTAAGATCATTTTGGCTTTACAATTCCTCTGTTGACACTTGAAAGGACAGTAGTTCAATGTACCATCTAATTGCATGAATGAAATGGCCAAAAGTGACCTTACTTCATAAAGTTGTACTGCCTTTATTCCCATAATGCAGTTGTGTCCTCTTAGTCCCCCACAAAGCAGAGCGAAAGGTCAGGGTTACTCAAGGGCAGAAGGGATTTCTGTGTTTTGCTAAAGGGCACTTCAGTAACGAGGGGCTCGACCCTTGCTGCCCACTAAGGAACCCAGCTTTGTGGAAACATCACATACCTTTTGACTTACCCCTGGATTCATGGTTCTCACCCCTGACCCTTAGTTTGAAATCATAAACTTTAACAACAGTTGATCAATATTCAGATTAATGGGATTAAAGCATTTTAGGATCGTAGTGATGTATGCTGCTGTCAAACGAACCTCGGCTCTGAAACCTCACGGCGAAGCGGTCGGTCCCGGAGAGGCTGTGGAGCCGCCGGCAGGTTGTGTTGTCTTTATTAATGCCGAGGGGCCTGTGCTCTGTCTCCCTCCGTCACTCACCCTCTCTCCTCCCCTCCCTTGCTGGCATGACTCCTAATGGGCTCGCTGCATCTACTCATCACTCAGACGGATAAAATGGCTTTTTATGTGGCGCCGGTGAGCCACCAAGCTCCAAGCGGATTGAGCCCAAGAAGAGAAATTAGAAGTGCATTTGGGGTTTGACGCCGGGATCCTCCCGGCATCACCACCATGCCTGACAAACGACTGCCTCTGCATACAATGTCCTAGTCACACTCGCATTGCAGTGCAATAGACTTAGCGTGACGGATGGAAACGAGTTGCGGGTTATTTCGTTCCCTGGAAGATAACGGTGGCTGAAAACTGCAGCTAATCGCCTAAAAATGTAAAGTGGCTCAGGACCGAGCGGCAGATGTTAATAGCCGCCTGCATCTCAATATGGGCCTACATGCGTTTGTGAAACGCGCTCATCCAAACGGTTTCTCGGCCAGCGATCCGATTGAGCGCGTCGGCTGTCCAGGTGATAAATGAGAGAGTAACGAAGGGGACACATACCTGATGCCTTTGATTTGTGCGATGCTGTGGTGGGAGATCCGTGACACAGCCGAGATTACCTGAGGAAAACAAAGAGATAAACGAAACATCAACGCTGGGTTCTTTATCGGACACGCTATTTCCCTCAACTTTTTCTGGCTTTGTGGTTTTATTGATGTTTTTTTTTAATGCTGTGATGCTTTATCATTTAATGCACACTTCAGGAAGAAAAGAATACAATTATATAGAACAATAACTAAAAAATAAACCATCGGGGGCAACCGTAAATCAACAGTAGTATCTAAAGGTGGGCTTCTCCTATTTAACATTTGCTGGATTCCTGAAAGACCACAAGGTTGCTTTTTATTCCTCTGCAGATGGAACCCAGACTGTGGTCGTCGAGACCAATAGGGGACCAATAACAAACAACATTTTCCTTAGTTAAAGAAAGACAAAGACAAATAATAGAAAAGGGACATTAGCGATCTGAGACCAAAATTAATTATGAAAGTAACTAAAATCAACTAAAGGTAAACAAGAGTATCCCAGTTTGCAGAAAAAGCAACATGAAACAATGTTACAAAAGTAATATATTCAAGAGGCAGAGCATCATCAAAATGTTTTTCCTTTAGTTCAAAATTCACTGCTCTACAACGGGGGTTCCTTAGCAACGTCTCCCATGTGGCGCAGTACCACAAAGGACTGTGGGATATATTGCAGACCGCCGTGTTGAAGCCTAAATTCAAAGACTTCAAAGTCGCGTGTTGTTGTACCACTTTGGGTATTTTACACATAGACACAAAGTCACGAAAGCTCCCTCATTGTACTTGTTTTGTCTGTGGACTATAGATCACGTGCTCTGCAGGGTCCACTGAGGCTGCTTCAGGAAGATGAGGGCACTCACACACACACACACACACACACACACACACACACACACACACACACACACACTCATCACCCACTTCTCGGGTGTATTTCGGCTCGCGACACCATGGCAGTGCCAGATGTCTCTGTGACACGGTGGAGAAAATTGTTGTCTCAACCCCTCGTCCTCGGCAGGTGTCTCATCTCGTCGAACTCCCTCTTGTCCAAACACACAATGCGGCGCCCTCAGCAATTACGCCACTTAACATTGCAGATGAGAGGACGTCTGGTGTGAAGAGCGCACCGCCGCTTTAGGACCACGAGGACACTTCAGTTGAATGAAACCTTTTACTCTCTCCATTCAAGCTGTTCTTATATTTAACATAATCAGTTTTTTGGGAGAGCGGAGGCTTTACGCGGGGCACCGTTATGGAGTTTGTGTACATCACATCCATTTACATGTGACCACTCAACATGGGGAAACCTCCACGGGGCTCTCTCTCTTCATGAGGATAAGAGGTTATTTCTCTGTCGCTAAAGACCCGTTTGACAGCCGGTCCAATAGGGAGCCAGTCTGCCATGACACTCCTCCTTGCCATGCATTTTTTACTGAATTTTTATGATGGAGGACAATTAAGAAAAAGAGACGGACAAAGAGGCGGAGGCGAGCGGCGAGGGGGAGGGCGCTAATTAGGCCCAATGTCTGTTTAGCCAACAGTGAGAGTGTCTAATAAATCACTGAGGGTCAAGCCATTGTGCTGCCGGGTGGCATGCTGCCCACCTGGTCCCGCTGCAGGGGGGGGATCACACATGGCACGCTGCCCCAAAATCATTTTGTGGTCTTATCAGCCCACATTGTCTTTGTGGAACATAAAACATAAGAAAAGCAGGAATAAAACATGAACGTCTGTCCGGCTGGATGGATGGGGGCACACATTCAGAATTTAATAGCAACCAATATTCAATGGAGACTAGTGAGATCACATCCAGCTGAATACAACTGCTGTCAGCCAGGTTTGTCCGCCAGGTTCAAAAGGAAAGCGGAGCTGCCGGCCCCCCGAGCCAGGGAGGTCACAGGGGGGCCGGCACGAGTGTGCCAACGCTGAGCTTGGTAGCCTGACGTTCACACCTCACTTTGTCAAGTCAATTAATAATAAATCACAAATTTCCTTAAGCTAAAGGAATTTGTTCTTGTTTTCAGTTCATTTGCGAGTCACACGCCATGATGTGATGATGTTCGAGACTCCCTCGGGCTCGGAAAAGGAAATGCTGATTTGCAATCTGTTTTTCAAGGCAACCAAAGAGGTAAAAAAATCTGGTCTCGCATTGTAGATGGTAAGACCATTTCTTATTTGTGTCGAGCTAAAGTTTCATTAAAGTATTATTCGATTGCATCAAAACCACAAGAATGCTCGATCTACAAGTGATACACAGAAGATCTTCAGTGGAGTATCCCATTGAGCGCAGACCTTATTATCAAGAACACTCTTTTTTGGAGCCATCCTCTTTTATTGCTTTTTGTAATGCCACTCCGCTGTCTGCCTGATTGTTCTCTCCTCTCTCTGGCCATGTTCACCTCTCTGCCTCTAATACACTCTCTACACCCTCTTCTGATCCCTTGGTTCAGCCAAAGCCTTTGAGTCCCGCACATTATTCATTTCCCTCTCATCTGGCTCTCCCCGGGGGGTCTTAACTCGGGGGCAGGCCAGAGAATAAAGCTTCTTCCACCCCTCTAGGAATATGCAAACGACAACGTCACATGATGGAGTGATAGCTTAGATTTCTTAAGCCCCGAACCAATATCTTATCTTAATCATCACTCTGCCGCCCCCTGGCATCCCCTTACCCACATCTGACCCTTGCTGTCAGTCAGGAGGATGTAATTGGAGACATATGTTAAGTCAGACAGATCCACTGATGCTTGCAGTGTCTGCATGAGATTGGCATGGAACATTTTCAATCCATCTACCGCATTTACAACTTTCTGTGCAAGTGAGAGTGTGTGTGTGTGTGTGTGTTTAATGCAATAGAAGGGGAGCAGCGTAGAAGATTGAATCTATGGTTTAACTGCAAGGCGTGGCCAAGTGTTTGCAAACAGACGCCACCCTTACACACATCTCCATGTGGCCCCAGCAGGAGACGAGCGAGGCCTCAGGTGCACACCTTGCTGCCAATCCCACAGTCCATCGTCACCCCTGGCAACTGGGCGTAACTGAATATGCATGGTCATCAAATGAGTCAAATCAGATGAAACCTGCAGCCATATGCTATTAACGGTAGGAGGGCTGCCTGTGATTTGATTTAGATCTGAAAAGATGCAAAAGAGGACTATTGACAGTCCATCAAAGAGCGCACCCCACCGCCAACCCGGTTTGTATCTGACGCACTCATGGAACCATTGCACCTTGCACCGCAGATCAATGCATGCATGCAAGGCATCCAACAAAAAGCCTGAATTAATGAAGAATTAACCACATTATTGTTACACATTCGTTCCCTCACATCCCTCTCTCTCTCTGGGCTCTTCCTCCAACGATAGCGTGTGATATTTATGAAGAATTCACACATTGATAAGACAGCATTGCTCTGCTTATGCCTGCATGCCAAAGTGGTAGGCATGAAGTAAAAGGGGCACTGAGCGGGAGAACTGAGAACAGATGGCTGAGGGGAAACCCTGCATGCCCAACATCAATAATAGACACACAGAGGAAGGCCGGCTGAGCCCGTCCGTGTGTGTGTGTGTGTGTGTGTGTGTGTGTGCCCCACTGTCCTACTGCCTCCGGGAGTTTCTGTCTAATACAAGCCTCCTTTTATTCGCCGTCTCTTTTTTTTTGTTCTTTGAGCTCAGCAACTTTCTTCTCCTCTTTCTTGGACTGTTTCTTTATCTTTCTTTATCTATGTTTCAACGCATACTTTTCAAAAATATTAAATATACAGTAAAAAGCCAAAAGGCTCCATTTAGTATGACGGTTCATTCAAGTTGATTGGCTTACTTATAATTACAATAAATAATAAATAAATACAATATGTATTCAAATAACATCTGTCTATGTAGGTTTAAAAAGTCCCCTGAATGAAATGCTGCAAATAGGAAAAAAATGAAACGGTGTGAATAAATAACAAACGGTAAAACATACATAACTACAACTAACTACTATGCCATCACATCCGTTTTTAAATGATAAACAGAGGAAAACAAGCATTTAAAACTAAATGTCATGGGGCGTGTTTGAGTGCACCCGGTACATTTCCAGTGGGACACACGTTGAATCACCCCCATTAGTCTCATGTTGAAGTTGCTGGATGCCATCGGGGCCGGCGCTAATCCTGATAGCCGTCAGATTGGCACCTGCCACGTTGCACTAAATCCCTTCAAGCTGCTTGATTACAGGGGATTTCACTGCCAATGTCCAGACAAGAAAAGCCCCCGGGTTGGCCCGAGGGCCGCAGAGAGGGCCACTGCTGACCCAAAGACCCCATTTACCATCAGTGCCAGGCCAAAATGGCTGTGCGCCTCCAGAGGGCATTCAGGCCACATATACTGAGTCCACTCGGATTGAAATTGTGGGTTATTGCAACATGATGAAAAAGGGTGCTAGAGGTGCTAAAGGTAGAATTGGTCATGGTATGGATCACCATGCCTTTTCTACAACCATCAATACGTGGTATTGATGTGAATGTGTGCATGCAAATCCATTTTAGAGCTTATTTAGCTTTAGCACCCCGAACATCGATTTGATCCGGACCTGTGCTACTTGAAGGAAAAAGGGCAACCGGGGCTAATGTGTGCAAATTTTACTCAATAGATCGCGTCAGCCTGTTCAACACCTGCCAATGCGCCGCAGCCATGTCCATGACCTGTCCCATTTCACGCTAAATCGACATACATGGGTTTGCTCACTTATGCGTGACCACCAGGGATGTTACTACATGTGTGACTCACCGCACGCGCCCAGTTGGAACGCATTCACATGTGCTGTGCACGAGGATACGCTTTCCTTACACACAGGCATCAGCGCGCACACACACACACACACATGGATCAATGGTGCACCAGTATGTGGAGCATGCAACGTTGGTAAAGAGTCCGGTTCTGGAAGAGATGGGACTTTACTCCAGGTCTGGATACGAGGAGGAAGATGACAAAAAGAGATGGCTCAAGAAAGACGCCATGAGTGAACGGCGTATGCTGCACAGCCCAGGCAGAGCGCCA